TGTTTAGTCCATGGTACACATGATGATGACCTTGACTTAAGTTCATTAACGTGAACTATGTCTGCAATAAATTGTTAAGTGAAAAAGGGAGATTAAAAAAATGTCGGGAGTGACCATCTGTCCATGGTGAGATAATGGCAAATATCTTTTTACTTTTTTCTCTTTGTGTGTTTGGATTTTTTTTACATGTAAATATTAATAATCATGAAAGATAATGAAGTTTTTTTCATTTTGGGGGGGAGGGGGACTAGAAAAAGGAGAAAATCCAGAGGATGAGGGAAAGGGTTCAATGATGGAAACTTACAAAGTTCCCTTGACTAGCGAGCAGGCCCCTGGTCCCTGCTGCCTTCCACAGCCAGGCCAGCTGCCATACTCCTCCACTTGGAGAAGAAACAAAGCCACTGATGGCCAGCGATGCAAGAGTGGAGAGACAGCTGCCAGAGAGCTTCCTCTGGTGGCCTTTTAGTCCTGGATCCCTCGGAGAAGTCATTCCCTACCCGGAATCCCCATACGACCACTAATCTTAGTATCCATTTTTCAGGTGAGCAAACTGAGGCTCAGAGAGGTGCCCTCACCTCTCCGTTGGGGGTCATTTCTGCAATGAGGGGGCAGGAGGCAGACCCTGGTTTTAGTGACTGATGGTCAAGTCCCTGAGTTCTCATTTCAACATGTATTTGGAGATGCCTGTATTTTCTGCTATGCCACTCTGCTGAAAAACTTCTCCAAAACGATAGCAAGTTTCCTCTCCCTTTAAAAAAGAGTTTCAGGGGCGCCTGGGTGGCGCAGTCGGTTAAGCGTCCGACTTCAGCCAGGTCACGATCTCGCGGTCCGTGAGTTCGAGCCCCGCGTCGGGCTCTGGGCTGATGGCTCGGAGCCTGGAGCCTGTTTCCGATTCTGTGTCTCCCTCTCTCTCTGCCCCTCCCCCGTTCATGCTCTGTCTCTCTCTGTCCCAAAAATAATAAACGTTGAAAAAAAAATTAAAAAAAAAAAATAAAAATAAAAAAGTTTCATTAAAAAAAAAGTTTGAGGGGGAATGTTTTAGGTGTGGGTGTCTTGATTCATATTTTACGTGCAACAGTTCAGCCCTTGAATGTGGTCAACAATGTGATGCAGGCAAGGTGATCACTTCTGTAATACATACAGACTCAGTAAACCTCCAACTGTGCAAGGGATTATCAAGGCCTAGCAATACACTAGCCCAAAACTGCATTAGGGTGGAAATGACCATGGCCTTTAAAATTTTTTTTTTAATGCTTATTTTTGAGAGAGAGTGAGACCACGCGCATGAGAGGGAGACACAGAATCTGAAGCAGGCTCCGAGCTGTCAGCACAGAGCCCGATGCGGGCCTTGAACCCACAAACTGTGAGATCATGACCTGAGCCAAAGTCCGGGACTTAACCAACTGAACCACCAGGAGCCCAACTACGGTCTTCATAAATTTTTTTTTAACATTTATTTATTTATTAAAAAATTTTTTTAATGTTTATTTTTGAGACAGAGAGCGACAGAGCATGAATGGGGGGAGGGTCAGAGAGCGGGCGACACGGAATCTGAAACAGGCTCCAGGCTCTGAGCTGTCAGCACAGAGCCCGACGCGGGGCTCGGGCTCACGGACCGCGAGATTGTGACCTGAGCCGAAGTCGGCCGCTTAACCGATTGAGCCACCCAGGCGCCCCCAACAACGGTCTTCAAATTCTGGCTCTGCTCCTTTCTCTCTCATTACCCATAGCTGTGTAACAAGACATCTCCAAACTCAGTGACTTAATACAAAAGTTGATTGTTATCGCTCAATGTTCTGTGGATTGATTGGGCTCAGCTGGGTGATTCTCGCTCGAGGGTCTCTCGTACAATTGCAGTCAGGTGGTGACTGGGGCTGCAGTCACTGGTAGGTCATCTGGGCCGGATGTCCACCACAGCTGACTCCCGTGACCTAAACCCCAAGGATAATGAGAATGGGAGATGAGACATCAGCTCCCAGGGCTTTCAAAAGAGTCGTTGGAGAATGGAAGGCAGATGGACAAGGGACACTAGAAGCTAAGTGCCTGCAGTGAGGGGAACTGAAGAGAAACTAGCCATTTCACTGGAAGCCTGGAAGCAATGCTATGCGGGAGCAGCCCATACTTGGCTCAGGAAAGCGGATCTGTAAAATTTCCAGAACATTCTCTTTGTGTGGTGCAAATACTATATAATTCTGTACTATTGCCCAACTCCTTTCTACCAAGGGGCTAAGTCTCAGGTCACCCATTTTAGAGACATTTCTTGAGTACCATGCCTGTGTTCGACACTGTTCTGGGTACTGGGAAATACTGGTCAGCAGAAGACACAAACGGCCTGCCCGCATGGGGCTTACAGGCTATGGGGCCTAGAATAGGGATATTTATGAAATAATCATCCAAGTAAGTGCATGATTAGCAGTAATTGGCAATCATGATAGGCTTAGTGAAGGAAAAGTACATGAAATAGGTTTTTTGGTTGGGGAGGGGACGGTTTGGGGAAGGCTTGAAAATGACAGTCGTGTTGAGATGCAGGGGGAGAGGACTGCAGGAGGAAGTGCCTTCTGGGAGGCAGGAACAGCACGTGCAAGGACCCTATAGTGCGGACAGGGTGGACCAGGCTGGTGAGAAAAAACAATACAGAAGCAGGGGCAGAACACGCAGGCCCCTGAGAATGATAGAAACCCAATTCACGCTGGCTTAAGAGGGTGGAGGGGAGAAACTTACTGGCTCCCATAAATGAAAATCCAGGGAACTCCAGACTTCAGGCTCAGCCTAAATTCGACTGAGCCCGTCTATCTCCCTCCCGCTCTGTTCCTCTATCAGCATTTTTTCCCGGTGGTTCCCCTCTAGGTATCCTGACAAGCAGAGCAAGAGAGCGAGCCACCCGCCACAGTTACCCACGCGGCTCTGGCTTGTGTCTCTTGGGCTCCCATTGGCTCAGCGGCCTATCCTTGGAGCTGAGAGGGATGAGCTGTCCCGATCGGTCCGATCCATTCCTACCGTGACATGTGACGTGAAAGGTGGATCCCATGCGGCTGGTCGAAGCAGGCAGGTGAGGTTGGGCAAGGGTTAGATTGCAGTGCAAGAGAAGTGACGAAAACCCAACGATGGGCTCCTGGAAGAGGATTCAGTTTTGTCCCGCGAATGTATCAGTGGGCTCACGGGTCGTGCCCTTTGCAAGAAGTATGTCCCTGTAAAGTTGTCAGGCAAAGGAACTGTCTTAACGCCATTTCATGAAGGATCACACAATTTATAACTCATAAATCGAGATGCTTGTATTCCCCAATTGTAAAATAAGAGGCTGGCTGCTTCTGGCTAGCTGCCCAACCTTTAATGAATGATTTCATGCCTCACGCTTGTGAAAAATCCAAAGCAGAATTGGAGATGCAATGTGGTATAGGGATCAGCATAATGCAGAGTTTGGTGCCAGGCCTCCTGGATTGCAATTCTCGTCCACTTAGTCATTTGTCAAGTCATTCAGTGTGGGTGTTTCAGTTCCCATAGGTATTAAAACGGAGAAGGCAATAATGTCTACTTCACGCCCTTGTGAGGACTAAATACATTATGGTTAATATATGGTAAGGACTTAAGAGGGCTTGTTTTGATACAGGGTAAGTGCTACATATGTATTTGCTTTGTTTGTTTGTTTGTTTGTTTGTTTGTTTAGGTAGGTTTCATACCCAGCGCAGAGACCAATGCAGGGCTTGAATTCAGGACGCTGAGATCAAGACCTGAGCTGAGATGAAGAGTCAGAACTTCATGACCGAACCACCCGGATGCCCCTGCATTTGCTATTATTATATTTAAAATTAAAATAAACCATATAAATATGGTTATATTTAGATTATAAAGAATTCAGGCAATGGATACCAAAAGCACCAATTCCTTTACAAAATAAAAGAAGAGGGGCGCCTGGGTGGCGCAGTCGGTTGGGCGTCCGACTTCAGCCTCAGGTCACGATCTCACGGTCCGTGAGTTCGAGCCCCGCGTCGGGCTCTGGGCTGATGGCTCAGGGCCTGGAGCCTGCTTCCGATTCTGTGTCTCCTTCTCTCTCTGCCCCTCCCCCTTTCATGCTCTGTCTCTCTCTGTCTCAAAAATAAATAAAAACGTTAAAAAACAAAACAAAACAAAATAAAAGAAGAAAGGTTGGGGTGCCTGGGTGGCTCAGTCAGTTAAGTGACTGACTTTGGCTCAGGTCATGATCTCACGAGCCCTGCATCGGGTTCTCTGCTGTCAGCGAGGAGCCTGCTTCGGATCCTCTGTCTGTCTCTCTCTCTCCAAAATAAAAACAAACATTTAAAAAATATAAAAGAGGGGCGCCTGGGTGGCTCAGTCGGTTGAGCGTCCGACTTCAGCTCAGGTCATGATCTCACAGCTCATGAGTTCGAGCCCCACGTCGGGCTCTGTGCTGACAGCTGGGAGCCTGCAGCCTGCTTCAGATTCTGTGCCTCCCTCTCTCTCTGCCTGAACCCACTCGCATGCTGTCTCTGTCTCTCTCAAAAATAAATAAACTTCAAAAAAATGAAAATTAAAAAAAATAAAAAATATAAAAGAAGACAGGTCAACAAAGGAAATAATGATACCAACTGATTGTTTACTGCATGGCAGGAACTGAGCTACAAAGCTCTGCAGGTGTTATCTCACTTAATCCTCATAACCCTATGAGATAGATGTTACTGTCATTTTCATTTTTCGGATGAGGAAATTGAGGCTCAGAGAGGTGAAGTGACTTTGCCCAAGGTTACAAGCCACTAAAGACTTGAACCCAGACATTTGTAATTCCACACCTTTGCTTTCACAGCCCCCGCATCCCAGGGGTCCAAAGAGGCTCAGCCCCGTCCACCTCCCCGCCCCTCTTGCCAGCATGGCCCCACCTCTCTAGCCTGCACCTCCCCCGCCCCCCCCCCTCCCCGCTCCTCCCCTCGGGTGGGCCCCGCCCACGGCCCGCGAGCCAGGTGCCTCCGCAATCCCGGCTCCCGGCCCCGCCCTCTGCCCCGCCCACAGGCCTCGCAGTCGCCGTGGACGCCGTTCTTGCGCATGGAGTCGCCATTTTGCTCCTAGAGAAGCCGCCTGGAGAGCCGGCGCTTTCTTCCTTCGGCAGCCGAGGCTGCGGCGGGGCCGGGGCTGGGGTCGGGGCCAGGTAGGCGGGCGGGAGCCAGCGACGAGTGGCGGCGCGGACCGGCGGGCTCCGGCAGTGCGGGGCGCAGGTGCAAGGGGCGGGGAGTCCCGCGGCGCCGGCTGGCGGACGGGTCGCGCGGTCCCGGGGCGGCGGCTGGGCGGGGGGATACGGCGGGGCGACCCCGGGCTCGCGCCCGCAGCCGCCCCCTCCCTCCCTCCCTCCCTCCCTCCCTCCTCTCCTTCGCGGGGCCCGCGGGGCTCGGGCCCGGCGCGCGGTCCCGGGTGACCCAGCTCCGGGCGCCTTTGGGAGTCGAGCCCTAATTACGGGACCGGCGGCTCAGAAAACGAGCCTCCAACCCAGCCATCTCCGGCCCCTGGTCTGACACAGCCCCTGATTCTAAGTTGACTGGCCTTGCTAGTCGCGGACCATTTCTGTTCTTCTCTGGCCGGTTGTTTTTTTTTTTTTTTTTTTTTTTTTTCCACCCAGAGCTCACCCAGCAGAGGTTGAGGGAGGACCTCGATGTGATTTTTAGATACTATTTGACTTTAAAATGTTTTTTCCCCAGCATATTGCATTGACGATAGGGTTTTTCCCCCTTTATTTTAATATTGGCGCAGTTTGGGTGTTTAGCTTTTATAAAGAATAAGGAAATGCAGACTGGGGATTTGGAGCATGAAGAAGTGTGATTTCTTACGTTTAGAAGATTTAAATGAGCAAATAAAAATAATTCAGCCACATCATTGAACTCCGCTAAATCCTACCCTTCTTCCTGCCCGTGTTCCTACCCTGACCCGGTCTATATACCATGATTACCCAGTTTTGATTAGCAGAGATGAAATTCTGCGCTTATTCACTTAACATAAGCACTGTACAGAGTCCTGGATATTTACCGTTTTTATTATGTTGACTATATATTTCCGAATTTTACTTAATTACCCCATTATGGATGCTTTCTATCTGTCCAGTGTTGCTCTTAAAAGAAATCTTGCAGTGACCATCATTGAACATATATGGCTTGTTCTTTTCTTGCCCCGGTACAAATGACCAAAAGGGGAAATACTAAAAGTTATGTGTTGTGTTCTTTCTTCAACACCTGGTATAAATTGTATTTCAAACAAGGCCTGTCTAGACATTTAAAAAAATCTGGGTGTTTGTCTGATTCTGCTGTGATGCTGAATTCAGCATGGGAGTATCATCATTTTCTGTGCCGTTGCATACAACTGTCTGCTACAAGTCAGACTGAAACTCAGCTGTCGTCAGCTGCTTAGAAGCCGCGCAGCCTTGAGCACGTTTCTTAATCTCCGGCCACATTTCCCCATGTGTAAAATGGGTCCACTTCGAGTACCTGCTTTCTTGAGTTGCCGTAAGAATTCAGAGCACTTAGAAAACAGCGTTAGCTGTAAGAAAACGTGCTGCTGGAGAGACGGGCAAAGAGCCTGGGATCACAGAGACACGGAAGATTAATTCGGCTTAGGTTTTGCCCTAATTCTCTTCAGTACTGATATAAAAAGCAGTTGTTTTTGAGCGAGGTACGTCAGCAATAAAAATAATAGTTGTTTGCATCTTATGATGCTTTTTAGTTTGCAGACTGCTTTGAGTACCATTTGTTAATTGTTGCGACTCAGTGAGGTCAGGCTTTATTCAACAACTGTTTGTTACTTTGGCAAACACCGTTGCGCCCCCATGTACCAGGTACTAGGCACCGGATATACAGCAGGGAATATAATGGGGAAAAAAAAAAAATCTCTGCTGTCCTGGACCTTCGGTACTGGTGGGGAAGCTGATCTTCCCAGACATCTATCTCTGTTGTCAGGAAGGGAAGGGCCAAGCCACCTACCCAAGAACGGGTCGCTAGTAACCACGGAAGGCAAGCCCGGGATTTCACGCTTACTCCGGTGTCTTTAGATAGGAGGTGTTTGCAGCGGATGCTTTGGAGGGAAAGCATCACACTTTAAGGCAAGCCTTCCTCATCTGAAATGTGGAAAAGTGGTTTTGGAAGGACTGCTGGCACCATCCAAAGCGAGTGGTCTTTCAGTGCGGATTCATTCAGGAGACTTCATAGATTGTCCAGTCTCATTCAAGAGAGGAGTAGGGTTTGCTTTTCGAAAGGTACTGAGAGCCTCGGAAAAGGACGTGTTTTCATCTGTGTTATAAATAATTCTCACACATTGTGGGGTAAATTTAGGGTAAATGTAAAAGCAGCTGTAGTTTACAGGGTTGCGGAGCAGGGAGAATGAGAGTGCTCTCTTCACTTTCCATTTCACGCTAAAGCTTTGTGGTAATGAGCCTTCTGCCAGGCCCCATCCTGGTGATTATGTTTCTGAGGATAATCTCTAAAACTCACTTTTTTGAAGCTTGGTAGGGAGTACAACTTGAATTTCCAGTAGGGAAAAGGAGAACCCAAGCTAGCAACAGCCCTTAAGTTTGAACATCTTGTGCAGTGAGTAGGCGCAGAATATGACTGTCGATAACCGTTTCCAAATGGATGCCCCTACCTGTGCCGTTTTGATGGTGGTGGGTTTTGGTTATAGAAACCTGATGTCGGAAGACTTAGGACGTAAGAGACCACAGTCAGTGGTGAAGGGCGTTCAAACTGTGACCAATAACGAAAGGCTGCAGGAAGTATCCTGGGGAAGAGAAGGCACAGAGGCAAGAGAGCCATCTTGAGATAGGTTGCGCACTGCCCAGTGGAAAAGGAATTTGATGTTTCCTGTAAATTATCAAGGAAAGGGCAAAGACCAGGAGGTGTTGAGGGCAGGGAGAGGAAGTTTAGCGTGTTCTAAGGAAGAATTTGGAATGATGGGCCCCTAGGATATGGCCCTGGGCTCGAGCTGTTCAGGCACCTGGAGTGGCTCCTTGGCGGGAGTCCTGTAGATGGGCCTGGTTATCTCTCAGAGCTCTTTCTACCCTCAGATGCTTTTGTTCTGAGTGTTCCATGTCCTGTCAAGAACACTGTGGTACCTTAAGAAGCTTCTTATTTGAGGTTTGGGGAATGTAACAAGATGGCCAACATATGCATGTAACCGCACTTGTTTAGTAGAAAACCAAAACCTTGAAAGTGGATACCAATGTAGCCAGCTTCCATTTACCAAGCAGATCCTCTGTGTGGCACACTGTGTTAAGTGCTGTACAGAAATTAATTTTACAGCAACCCTGTAAGGTCACTTTACCCTAAGGCTAAGAGAGACTCATTCATACAGAACCTCGCAGTGAGTTGAGCCCAGATGCAATCGTGAATTTGACTCCAAAGCCTGTATTTATAACTACAGGAGAATGAGTTTTTATTGTTTCTGTCTCCAGACCTGTGCCATCTGTTCCTAAAGACAGACATAGCATTGGTTGAGAGATGGTGTTGGAAGATACTTAAGATCTCTTCCAACTTTGAGTATTGATGACTAAATACATTCTTTTTTTCATCTGTACCAGCCACTCTGGCCCACACTGCCCTAAAGCAGGTGTCAGCGGACTTTCTGTGGAGGCCCAGATGATCAGTGTTTTCAGCTGTATGGCCTGTACTCACCTCTATCATTGTATCCATAGACAGTTTGTAGGCAGTGAGCATGGCTGTGTTCCAATATGATTTTATGTACAGAACGAGCATTTGGAGGGATCTGGTTTGGCCCGTGGGCTGTAGTTGGCTGATCCCTGCTCCCGAGCCACTTTCCATCGTAGGTATCCTCGTTGGTCTCCTTAGGGCTTTGGTCATTTGTGCATGTGTTTGTGTTTGGAATTCATAGGCTGTAGGTCAGTTTTCATTGTAGTGCTCCATTTTTCCCATCACGGGATGCCCCGTAAGAGGCACTCTCGGGAAATGTGCTCTCCTAGCCTGCTGGTGCGTCCGTACCTATAAATTGCCCTGCCCCAAGGACCCAGCGGTTCTTGCAATTACAGCAGAGACGCGCACACGTGCGCTAGGAGCCCTGTTTAGGATGGTGACCCGCTACATGTGACATCTCCGCACCATGGAGTACTCGAAGCAGTTCAAAAGTATATTTTGTAAATATACAACCCCCGGGTTGTCAAAATACATCGTTTAACAAAAAAGATTATAGATAAATTTGCACAATGATTTTTTTTACATTAGAAAAGTATTTTTGTACATATTTTTTTTATGAGGCGGGGGTCGCATGTGAATGGGTACAGGTCAGGTGGTGGCCGTATCAAACTGATAAGAACTGTCCGTTCCTGGGGACGTGGGTGGGAAGGAGCCTGGGATTGGTGCTAGTGATGTTAGCCTAAACATCAAGTTTCAGTTCCTCACGAGGAGAATGTGTGTGTGTACCAGTGGAATTAAAATTTAAGAGTAACAAGAAAGATCCGCTTGGCTTCGGTCCCTTTGTAATCTTCCTGGAGACATCAACCGAGGAAATGCAGTGGGCTCGCCGGGAAGGTCCCCCCGCCCCGTGGCCTACTAGGTTATTGCTACGGCATCTAGTCCTGTACCTTCCTTGGGTGATAAGGACGCAGCCCAGAGAGTGAAGGAGCCCCTGAACGGCCCGTGGGATTACCACCTTGGCTCTGATGACTCTCGGGCCAGGGGTTTTTCTGTTTGTGCCCTGCTGCCTGTCAGTTGGGTGGTTGCTTTCCTTCCCTTTGGGGTTATTATTTGGTCTCAGCCTTGTGTTCCAGTTCAGAAAAACTTAGATGCCAAGGTCCAGCTTAGACATGACTCAGGGCATCAGAGAGGCAGCTGGCAGCCAAGGGGGAGGTTTGGGGGTAAATAGTTATTATAGGAAAAGCTGGGCACAGATGGGCTATTTTATTCATCATTGAAGGATCGATCAGTCCATGTCCTTGCTAATGGCTCTGCCATTTTTCTGTGTGTTAATCCAGGAGGAATTTTGTTGTCAGAGAATAAAAGGAGGTTGTCCATAATTGACTTTAAGCAGCAAACAGTAAAACACTGAGCTCTTCAGCTCCGCCTTTCTTGTAAGTTTATCGTTTGTTCCCAGTGGTCATGAAAACTAATTAAATCATGCAGTAACATTTTTCCATAAATCCGGAACCCTGAAACCCAAATGAACTTTTTATTTGTCCATACATATATTTGATATAAAAGACTCCATCATGGCGAAAACTAATTTCCTTCAGCTTAAGTCATTTGCTAGTAAAAAAAAAAAAAAAAAAAAGTTCATTCAGGTGAATTTCATATTCTGTGGTGGTTCTTAATATGCTTTTAATCCTCCTAGGCTCTGAGAATTGGAAAACCAAGAAGGTTTTGATGTTTTGTGTGGCGCCACCTGAATTAGAAACCAAGATGAACATAACGAAAGGAGGTCTGGTGTTGTTTTCGGCAAATTCTAACTCCTCGTGTATGGAGCTTTCAAAGAAAATTGCTGAGTGAGTACTTCGTGCCATTAAAATCCATATTCAGTATGTCATGTTGTAAGAACAATTTTTTTATGTTTATTTTTGAGAGAGAGAGAGGCAGAGGCAGACACAGAATCTGAAGCAGGCTTCAGGCTCTGAGCTGTCAGCACAGAGCCTGATGCGGCCTCGAACTCACAACCCGTGAGATCATGACCTGAGCTGAAGTCAGATGCTTAGCTGGCTGAGCCCCCCAGGCTCCCCTCCTTATGCTTTTCTGATGATCACTTCAAGTGTGATGATCGTTTCGAGGAGCCAATGGAGGTGAAGGTTCTTCATTTCTTCCAGTCACAGGCGCCCTCATTATGTCATGTTTTAAATTTGACTATCGGAATAGCACTGATTGTTAAACTTGAGAACAGATGTTTTGTAGTTGGTCTGTGTATCGTCTGTATATTAAGGGCTCACTTTTTTTGTGAACTGTCGTAACTCCCTACACGTTCGTTCGGCAGACGTTTATCGAGTCTCTATAAGTGCCAGGGATTGTGTTAGGTGCCGCATACGTGGAGAATTACTTGCGTATGAAGAGCAACGAAGTGTATTCTGTATGAACATAGTTTACATAGATTGTAGTTCAGTCTAGTTTTAGTTATTAAATAAAGTTTGAACCCCCTACTATGTATTAGACCTTGATCTAGATATTGGGGATTAACAGTGAACTGAACAGTCAGGATCCTTTCTTCTTCTGTGTAGTAGGGGAGCCAGACGAGAAGAAAGTCAACAAAACAAACGAGAATTTCAGGTGGTGATAGTGTGAAGAAAACGGGATGAAGGGAAAGGTTTGTGCAGGTTGTTCTATTTTAGCTCAGGTGCCTTTTAAGCCCAGGGGATGGTACGTGAATTGAGAAACCCTCCAGGCAGAGGGAACAGAAGGTTCAAAGGCAGGAGGGGTTGGTGTAGCCCAGGGACAGGCTCGATCAGGCTAAGCTGGCCTCCGGAGGCCTTCTTGGGGAGGCGTGGGGTGGGGGTTAGGTAACGGAGCGACAGGCAGTATCGTATCCACTTTAAATTTTATGGTAAGAGTGCCTCTGTTTTGTTTCGCTTTGTCTCATTTTCAATCAATTTATGAATCATCCTTAAATAGTAAAGATGTTGAGTCGATTTTATTTCTATTACCTTTTCAGCTTTTTCCCCCTTTTCTCTTCCCTAGGCGGCTGGGGGTGGAGATGGGCAAAGTGCAGGTTTACCAGGAACCTAACAGAGGTGAGCTATCTCAGACATGCGTGTGATGTTGATCTTTTTGTGGAACGTGACGTTCTGGCTCTGTCCTTCATCCTCTGCTCTTAAAATAGTTGGACCCAGCGGCCGGTTATTTCCGCCTGCGGGAAGTCCAGCGGGCAAGGTGGCGAATACCAACTGGACGTAGACCATCTGGGGGCTTGAACTCCAGTTCTCAGACCTCATTCAGTAAAGACTGCAGCCATGCATGCAGCTGGCCCACTGAATGGAAATCTAGCTCAGCAGTTGTGTGAATTTGTGTCCCCTTAGGTGGGATGAGAAAGCCCTGTGTGGCCACGGTGTTAACTGGTTGCCATTCTTTATTCCCCATAAGTTGCCGTTAGGAAATGTTTTGTTAATTGATTTCCGTCATTACATAAACACCCCACATTGTGCACTTGTTCACGTGTTACTTACTCTTTGTAATTTCTGTAGAAATGGTGGATATTTGAAATTATCCTAGCAGGAATGATGGACAGCTTACCAGGACCCGAGGGTCAGACGACTTATCCTTGGCGAGTTATTTAATTTTTCTAAACTGCGAATGATTTGTGCTGCTTTGAGGATTTAATGGGATAATTTGTGTGCCTTCACACTTCTTGGTGCATAGTAGGTGCTCGGGAAACACCGGTTCCCTGTCCTTTTCCACTGTAGGATTTTGGCAGTTACCTAAATATTGGGAGAACTTACAAGACGCTTTGATGAAAAGGCACAAATTTGTTTCCCCCCTATTTATTTCTACCATCACTGCCACCTTTTTCCTGTCTCCCAAGATCCCCCATGTGGCTTCAGTAGGAAAAATGTGTAATTGAAGAAGATACGCAGGGAGAGTTTGGAGAAGGGTCTGCTGCTAAAGCAGATTGCGTGATGCCCTTTGTGTAGCCTGGAAGGGAGGGTTAGGGAGAGCTGGTGGTGGGAGTCTCGTCCCAGGAGGAAAGTTCGTCTGCCCTCTGGGTTCCTGCCTGAGGGTGGGGAGAATACTTGGTGTCTATCGGGAAGGAAGGCTGGAACTGACGTTTGTGGATTCCTCGCTGTTACCAGGGACTGAAGCACTGTGTTCAGGGGTGATGTTAGCTACAAAGTCTCCAAGTCCCCGAAGTGACAGAGTCAGGATTCAAACCCAGCTCTCCCCGACCCTAAAGTTCATTTTCTTTCCTTGGTACTGTATATTCCTTTGTAAACACACATTCTGTTTTTCCCCAACATTTTTAACAAAAATGTTTGGACCTGTAAAAAGGTTAAGAGACTAGAGCTGTGAATATCCCATGTGTATGTCTGCCGTGGACTCAACAGCTTACATTTTGCAACATGAATATGAATGCGTGCAACCTTTTGAAAGTAAGTTGCAGGCATCAGGTCACTTAAGCTCTGAATGCTTGGCTGTGCCCCTCCTGAGGAAAAGGACTTTGTTCTGCATGAATACATTGTCTAGTTAAAAGAAATAAATGACCATTCTCTAATTATGTAATATCTCGCCAATATTCAGATTTCCCTTGTTGTCCTAGAGAGCCTTTTACAGCTATTAGGTTTTTTTTTTTTTTTTTCCCAAACCGGGATTCTTGGCTCAAGCAATGTGTTTTCTTTTTCACTGTTGTTTTTCTGTTGGTTTTTTTTTTTTTTTTACTGTTATTTTTGAGAGAGAGAGAGAGAGAGCACATGAGCAGGGAGGGGCAGAGAGAAGGGGACAAAGGACCCACAGTGGGCTCCATGCTGACAGCAGCCAGCCGGATGTGGGGCGAGAACTCATGAGAGAACTCACGTGAGATCATGACCTGAGCTCAAAGTCGGATGCTCAACCGACTGAGTCACCCAGGCGCCCCTCAAGGGATGTGATTTCTGTCTCTCTTTAGTTTCTTCTCATCTAGGACATTTCTTTTCTTCGTGTGATACTTTGAAGAATGCCCCATTCTTCATTTGTCTCATTGTTTCCTTGTGGCCATTCACAAGATTTTTTGAGAGTAGGGATGTTAAACTTTCTTTGTCTTTATTCTTACAATGTTTTTATAACACTTATTGCCAAATAAGTTAATTGTTGCTGCTTTTATGAATGAGTATGTAGTTTCCCATAGAGATACCCTGCTCAGCGTGGCTCAGTGCTCCCTGCCTGTGTGGAAGTAAGAAGGGTAGATTACGTGGTCCAAGTGGGAAATGGAATTCTCTCAGTAGCACGAACTGTAACGTTGACATGTTTAAAAACGGTGATTGAGGGGCGGGTGGGTGATGGGTATTGAGGAGGGCACCTTTTGGGATGAGCACTGGGTGTTGTATGGAAACCAATTTGCCAATAAATTACATATATTAAAAAAAGAAAAAAGAAAAATAAAATAAAAAGGGTGGTTGATGCCAGTGTGTTCATTATCACTTACAGCACCAAAAGCCTTGTGAATGTTTTTAACAGTTCCATTCTCCACATTTTGTGACACTGGGGATGAGGCAGACTTTTTTGTGCATTTTCAAAAATTTAAATTATATGCTGTCTTCACCACCGCCTCTATTTTTCCTTTTCCTGCCAGAAACAAGAGTACAGATTCAAGAATCCGTGAGGGGAAAGGATGTTTTCATCATCCAGACTGTCTCAAAGTGAGTCCTTAGCCAACAGACACGGGGGTCTCTCTGGGTTTCTTTCTGGGCAAGAGTGCTTGGACTCATAAGAGCTGACTGGACAGGAAGAATTATGACATTTTAAAATCGGTATGTCTTATTCTGCTAATTTTTCTGACATAACTGCTGGCTTTCAGGTGTTCTTTCAGGGTTCTCGAAGGGTGGAAGTAACCAGGTACTGGAGCAGAGGCTCTTAACGAGAATAGGACCTATGACGTTGCCTGTCAGTAGTGGGAATCTTATACAACTTGCAGGGAAGCTCTTCTGGTCCCCCCAAAAAAGGCAGGGGGAGTGGGGTTTACTTACTTGGGCTTCTTAAAGCTTTGACTGCAGGTCATTGAAAAATGATCACCACTTATTATCATGTAGATTAAATGAGCTGAGAAGGTAAAATAACGTATTGAAGGATGTATTCCTGTCTGGTGTGTGACGTTTGACATACGTATGTGTGTGTTTGGAAAGTTGTCGAGGCCACAGATGTGTAAGGTGGGTGTGGAGGAGTCTGTGTGGTGAGGTTCTCTGCATCGGTTTTTGATCAAATGCCGCACTGTCCACGGACGCCCCCGAGTGCCTCTGTGTATGAAAGTTCTTCACCTCAAAGTGGCTTTTAATAATGTCTGAAAATCAGTTTATATAGGGTGTACCGTTTTTGAGCTTAGAGATGCTAAATTTTGCTGCATGTTTGATTTGTGTTTAAATGTGTAAAAAATACCAAAGAAAGCCTGGTCTCGGGAGAATTTAGCCTCGCAACACACATACTTCGACCGAATGTTGAACATCTGTCCTGTCCTTGGTTCATCGGGATGAAGTCTCGTAGCCCCCTGGCTCCTCTGGGAAGAACAGTTGAAGGGGACCTGTCGTCGCATCCCATGCCTTCCTGGGAGCATGTGTGCCGTGGAGAAGGGCGGGGGCCGCTTGTTTCTATCCCTCTGCCACTTGGCATCCTCGGCAGACCTGGGCAGAGCTGGGAGCACTGAGTTCTTGTGGCCTCTCTGCCTGGCATGCCGAAGGGCCAGGGTGCTGGTGGAGAACTCCCCCGTGGGCACCCCTTGCCCTTCACCTTCCAGCATCGGGGTGGGGAAAGTGCAGAGCACAGGACGACTTCCATCGCTTCTGGCTCCTGCGTGTGTGGGGTGCTGTTACTTCCTCAGAGACACATGTGACTCCATTTTGGAGAAGTGCACGGAGGTGCTTGCGTCACACAGGGGAGAAGTGGGCATGGAAAGCCAAATCGGACTTAGAAGTCAGGGCTTCAGAGGGGGACTCGTGTAATCCTTCCCGTTTCCGGGTCCTTGCATTCCTTTCCTGTGTTTTGGTTTATTTCAACACTCCTATCATTTTGCCCCCGCCTTTTTTTAGTTTCTTCTTCCTGTAGTGAAAATCACCTGCGCGTCTCATCCTGCATCGTTCCGAGTTGCGCCGTAGGCTTGTGCGAGCTCCGCGGTTCTTAGTCTTGCCAGGTTGCCGGAAGCCTGGCCGTTGTGGTCTTCGCCAGATAGTTAACGTTGAGATCTGATGTCGTCAGTACATCTTCTGTTTTATTTTAGTACAGGCTAATGGTGGGCACTAAAGTATTAGAAAAATTTTAAATGGAGGCGATGCTGTCCAGTAGCTCAACTTCTGCAGTCACTCAGACAGGTTCGTTATCAGAGGTTAGTGCTGGCCAGCCTGTCAGCAGCTCGCAGGAGACAAGTGCTCCCGCACGCATGATTCGGGACCCTTGATGTAACTCTGTACTCCCTGTCGGGTCCTCTCCTCCTACTGTTTCACATTCGGGGCGGGGGGTGTGATCTTGAGTGTCCGGCATCTAGAAAGCCATGAAACTCAATGAGGAGCCCAGCGGGTGAGGCGAGGTTGCAGGAGAGGGCAAATGGGCATTAGGCAGGAAGGTGGGGAGAGGAGAAGCGGCACAGGAAGCCAAGTGGGGCAGCACAGGAGGAAGTCCTAGAAGCCAAGTGGGTCAAGCAGGGTGAGCAGCCTGGAGAGTTGAGTTGAGAGGAGGAGGAGAATTGACCTTGGATCTGGCTGCATGGAGGTCGTTGATGACCTGGATTGGAACGTGTTGGGAGAGAGTGAATGGAGATGAGCTGATGATAGCAGTGTAGACAGCTCCCTTGAGACATATACACAGGGGAGCAAAGAAGTTCGGGGGCAGTGGGAAAAATGGCCATTAGTTGTTTTTTTTTAATTTTTTTTTTTAATGTTTATTTATTTTTGAGATAGAGGGAGACAGAGCGCGAGTGGGGGAGGGGCAGAGAGAGAGGGAGATACAGAATCCGAAACAGGCTCCCGGCTCTGAGCTGTCGGCACAGAGCCCGATGTGGGGCTCGAACCCACGAATCGTGAGATCATCACCTGAGCCGAAGTCGGATGTTTACCCAACTGAGCCACCCAGGCGCCCCACTAGTTGTTTTTAATGTGACAACAGAATGTTTATAGTCCGATGGGTACAGTCTGGTCGGGGGGGCATACCAAACTGATGACGGAGGCAAGAGAGGGAGGATCACTGGAGTCCTGTGGAGTAGGGGTGGTTAGTGGGCCATCTGGAGGGCTCATTTCAGAGTAACTTTGGTGTGGAAAGTGTGTCTCTGACTAAGGGCGGAGGGCGGGCAGACTTGTAGGTGCAGATACGTGTGTCGGTGGGAGCCCATGGAAGCTCGCTCTTCTGACTGCTATTTTTACGAAGAAAGGAAGTAGTGTCATGGGCTGGGAGGGAATGTGGGACATGTTAGTTCCTCTTCTGCGTCTCGAGCCTGGAGACTTGGTAGAGACAGGAGTAGCACACTGCTGACATCTTGTTGGAACAGGCATCTCACGTCCCCTTGCTGGGACTCACTCACTCACACTCTCTCTCTCTCTCTCTCTCTCTCTCTCTCGGAACACAGGGATGTAAACACCACCATCATGGAGCTCCTGATTATGGTGTACGCGTGTAAGACCTCCTGTGCCAAAAGCATCATCGGCGTGATTCCCTACTTTCCTTACAGCAAACAGTGCAAGATGAGAAAAAGAGGCTCCATTGTTTCTAAACTGCTGGCTTCGATGATGTGCAAAGCAGGTAAGAATGGCGGATATTTGATACTTAGTGGGGCCCGGGAAGTTTATTTTTACCTTAGAAATTGTAAAGCCTTGTTTTAACTAAATGCGAATGCTAAACAGAGTGAAAGACCTTTTTCTTTATTGTTTTTTTGTTTTTTAATGTATTTTATTTATTTTTGAGAGAGACCAAGTACAAGTGGGGGAGGGGCAGAGGGAGAGGGAGACGCAGAACCTGAAGTAGGCTCCAAGCTCTAGCTGTCAGTACAGAGCCCCATGCGGGGCCTGAGCCCATGGACCATGAGATCATGAGCAGAGCTGAAGTCAGATGCTTAACTGATTGAGCCACCCTGCGCCCCAGGAAGACTGTTTTTAAAGACAGCTTATGTATAACGAGAAAGCAGTGCAGAGAATTCTCTCCTGTTCCCAACTCCCTGAAACACAGAATTAAGGAGAATGACGTATTTTTTCCTAATTTCTTTGTTTAAAAAATGACATTGAAGCAACAAGTTACACTCACATTTAAGTCATTTTTGAAGGGGAAAAGGCATTTGGAACCGAGCATTTTAACAGCAACAGCTTCCTTTAGCCTCTTCGCAGCACAGATTGGCATATTTTGTAAACCATATGTGGTAATTCGTGTCGCGCCTTTTCAGGTAACCTCCTAATTGTCTCCCCCTTGTTTCTGAATAACCTTCAGAGTTGTGCACATGCCTGTGTGGGCACGTGCATGCGTGTGTATGATTGTAGAAGCCACATATCCTGGAGCATTGGCACAGAGAGGGAAGGATTAAAATATTCCCACTCACTGCGTTTGAACATAGTCACTTACTATGGAATAAATTTTCTACTGTAGCATTCCAGAGAAGGCAAAGAAACAAACAAAACAAACCATAACTTGGTGAAACTTGAACCCCAGCAACTTCAATGGTACAACCTACTGAAAGGTCGGTTTTCAGAGTTTTCAAAGCTGGCTGAAGGGAGCAGGCTGGCTCACTGAGCCTTCCGGAAAGATGCTGGTCTTCTCTTCTGGCCTTGATCCTGGATGGGCCACCAGGTTGACTTTCCTGGTTTTTGGGTCAAGTTTGGCTTTTAAAACTTTTCCAATTAGATTTTCCTTCTACTTTTGTTTTCTTTCTTTTTTTTTTTTTTTTAAATTTTTTAAATGTTAATTTTTGAGAGAGACAGAGCGCAAGCAGGGGAGGGGCAGAGAGAGGGAGACACAGAATCCGAAGCAGGCTCCAGGCTCTGAGCTGTCAGCACAGAGCCCGACGCGGGGCTCGAACTCACGAACCGTTATATCATGACCTGAGCTGAAGTCGGACGCTTAACTGACTGAGCCACCCAGGCGCCCCTCCTTATACTTTTCTGATGATCATTTCAAGTATGATGATCATTTTGAAGAGCCAGTGGAGGTGAAGGTTCTTCATTTCTTCTAGTTACAGGCCTGTGCAGTTTGTCTTAAGATCTTAAGACAATACTTGTCTTAATATGGCTTTGCTGTAACTTGCTCTAATACAATTATAAGAGACCTTTCTTCGTTACTATTACCTTTGCTGTTTTAAAACCATGAATTGATGTGAAAATCATGTATCTCTGTGTAAGAAAACCACCCAGTCTTTCCCTTCTGAGTGGGGAAAAAGCCAGTTCCCCTCCTGTGTATCTCTTGTACTACTCACGCAGAAGATGTCACTTTTGGTCACCAGATGTGTCGAGGTTTTTCCCTACACTTAGCAATTCTCCATGACATCAGCTGGGTATCCTACGGTTTTTGTTTTTTGTTTTTAATGTTTATTACTTTTGAGAAAGAGAGAGAGTGAGCGGGGGAGGGGCAGAAAGAGAGGGGGACAGAGGATCTGAAGCAGACTCCGTGCTGACAGCAGAGAGCCCAGTGTGGGGTTGGAACTCACAAACCATGAGATCATGACCTGAGCCGAAGTCAGATGCTTAACTGACTGAGCCACCCAGGCGCCTCTGGGTATCCTACAATTTAACTAAATTCTGACACTGTCTACCTGGAGGTAGACACCTGTGCTTCTGACCAATCTGCTGTGAATCAGAAGCTCCCAGGACCCATCCTCAGATTTGATTATTTGCGGGGGCAACTTACAGAACTCGGGAAAACTGCCCACTTACTGTTTGCCACTTGATTGGAAAAGCATAAGATAAAGAATACGGGCGATCGTCCTGCTGGAGGGGATGCGAGGCCCCACATGTGGGGAGGGCTGCGGAGCCCATGACCTCTGCCAGCACCTCCACCTGTTCACCTACCTGGCAGCTGCCCGAAACCTCTGCTTCCTCATGCTTGCTCCATTTCCGGCCCCTCCCCCTGCCTCTGGAGAATGGAGGTGGGGATGGGGTGAAGGCTGAAAATTCCAAGCTCCAAGAGCCCACCGAGAGTCACCTCATTAGGGGGCGCCTCCGTAGCTCAGTAGGGAGACTTCAGCTCAGGTCATGATCTCAATGGTTTGTGGGTTCGAGCCCCGCATCGGGCCCTGTGCCGATAGCTCAGAGCCTGGATGGAGCCTGCTTTGGATTCTGTGTCTCTCTCCCTCTCTGCCCCTCACCCACTCATACTCTGTCTCTCTCTCTCTCTCTCTCTCTCTCTCTCAAAAATAAATAAACATTAAAAAAATTTTGAAAAAAACCCAAAAGTCACCTCATTAGAACAGAAGGTGCTCCTAGCGCTCTCATCTCTTAGGAATGTACCAGGGTTTTAGGAGCTCTGTGTTAGGGACAGGGGTCAGAGACCACTATATGTTTTCTGTTCTCTCACAGTGTCATTGAATTAAAAAATCTGAGAGAGAGAGACTCTGAGTCTTTTTGATTAGAGAGCAGTTTTTTTTTTTTTTTTAATTTTTTTTTTCAACGTTTATTTATTTTTGGGACAGAGAGAGACAGAGCATGAACGGGGGAGGGGCAGAGAGAGAGGGAGACACAGAATCAGAAACAGGCTCCAGGCTCTGAGCTATCAGCCCAGAGCCCGACGCGGGGCTCGAACTCACCGTGAGATCGTGACCTGACTGAAGTCGGACGCTCAACCGACTGCGCCACCCAGGCGCCCCCGAGAGCAGTTTTTTAAATGCTATTATATATAGTATTTATGTATGCTTATTTCATGCAGTACAGCCGGTTATTTAGCTCTTCATATGTTTGTGTCTTTGTTTCCAAAGGTCTAACTCATCTTATTACTATGGATTTGCACCAGAAGGAAATTCAAGGCTTCTTCAACATTCCTGTTGATAATTTAAGAGCATCTCCCTTTTTACTGCAGTATATTCAAGAAGAGGTGGGCTAGCTCATACTTCTGTATTTTAACATTCTGTTTAAGGTTGAAAAGATCCATTTCCATTTCCTTGGGCCACCTGTCAAGGATTAAAACTTGGTGTATGCTGCTTAAAGCACGACTTACTTTATAAATGTAATTCAGTGTATTTTAAAATTCTTTTTTTTTTTTGTTAAAGTTTATTTTTGAGAGAGAGCATGAGTGGGAAAGGGGCAGAGAGAGAGGGAGAGAGAATCCAAAGCAGGCTCAACACTGTCGGCACAGAGCCTGACATGGGGCTCGATCCCATGAACCATGAGATCGTGACCAGAGCCAAAATTGAGAGTTTGACGCTTCACTGACTGAGCCAACCCAGGTGCCCCTGTGTTTTCAAATTTTTAATCTGCAGTTTGTTTTGTTAAGCTCTTTTTTTTTTTTTCAATGTTTATTTTTACTTTTGGGACAGAGAGAGACAGAGCATGAATGGGGGAGGGGCAGAGAGAGAGGGAGACACAGAATCGGAAACAGGCTCCAGGCTCTGAGCCATCAGCCCAGAGCCTGACGCGGGGCTCGAACTCACGGACCGCGAGATCGTGACCTGGCTGAAGTCGGACGCTCAACCGACTGCGCCACCCAGGCGCCCCTTGTTAAGCTCTTTAAATTGTGTTTTCTTTTGGACCTCAGGTACCTAGAATTGAACTAGTTGTGATCATGGTCAAATAACTGTCATCATTGGTCCACGCGTGCACCTGGCCCTCATTTGTGTTTCCATCGCTCTGCCTGTCTCTCTGTCCATCTGTCTGTAGTGGTCACCGGCCGTGATCCTCCCACGTAGGAAGAAAACTAGATCCCTCATAACTGACATCCACTCATGTGGTCCTTTTTCTGTCACATCCCCCTGCCTCCTCCTGCCCCAAGGGAGCCACTATCCTGAGTCTTGCTTCATCGTTTTCTTGACTTCCTTTGTAGATGGTCTTATCGCATATGTACATACACATACAGGTATTATTCAAAGACAGAAACAGTACACTTTTTTAAGTTTATAAAGAGTCAAATTCTGTGATTTGGGGGCAGTTTTCACTTGCTGTTACGTTAGTAAGACTCACCCATGTTATGTGTCACGGTGTATCCATTTTGACTGTTGAGAAATAGTCACTGTGCAGCCTTGTCACAGTTTACTCATAGGTTTTTGCTCTTGTGATTGTGTCCTGTGAGCACTCTTGTAGGTGTCTCCTGTGGTGTGCAAGCAAGTGTATCGTGATTCTATATTCATCTCTAGATGGCATGGCCTGTGTTTAATTTTTCCCAAGGCAGTTATACCTTTCCGTTCTGACCAGCAGTGAGTCAGGTAGTCTGTGGACCCATCTTTGTTTCAATACTTACGTTACCAGAATTTAAAACTTTTGCCTGTTGAATGGCTGTGGCCTGGTGTGTTGGTGTCACGTCGATGGATAGATCTCTGATGATGTAAGAAATCGAGCGTCTCTTCGTAGATTTCTTTTCTGTGGAAAGGTGCTTAATGCCTTTCGTTTGTGTGTTTCCTCAGTGGTTTTGTGTGTTTCTTTCTGTGCCACAGGCATCCTTTTTTAATTCTTGATTGTAGCCATTGGTTAGTATTTGTTTCACATATATCTCAGTTTGTAACCTGTAGTTTTCTTAAGGGAGTCTACATAAGCAGACATGTTCAGATTTTTTTTTTCATTGAGGTTAAAATTCACATAACATAAAATTAACCACTTTAGGGGCACCTGGGTGGCTCAGTCGGTTAAGTGACTTTTTCAAAAAAAAAAAAAAAATTTTTTTTTTACAATCATTTGTTTTTGAGAGACAGAACACGAGCGGGGGAGGGGCAGAGAGAGAGAAGAAGACACAGACTCGGAAGCAGGCTCCAGGCTCTGAGGTGTCAGCACAGAGCCCAGTGCGGGGCTTGAACTCACGAACTGTGAGATCATGACCTGAGCTCAAGTCGGATGTTTAACTGACTGAGCCACCCAGGCGGCGTCCCAAGGGTCTGACTCTTGATGTTGGTTCAGGTCATGATCTCACGGTTTGAGAGATCTAGCCCCAAGTTGGGTTCTGCGCTGATAGCTCAGAGCCTGCTTGGGATTTTGTCTCTCCCTCTCTCTCTCTGCCTCTCCTCTGCTCACACATTGCACATGCATGCTCGCTCGCTCTCTCTCTCTCTCTCAAAATAAATAAACTTAAAAAAAAATGAAGTACTCTACGGGAGCTCACTGTTTAAAAGGACTTCTGTTCTTTTTGCCTTTTACAGCGTACTTGTTTTAGTTGACCATATCTTACCGAATCGAAGATGCCATCGGCTAAGGTTTACATTATTTTAGGTCATCAGGAAGGAAGGAAACACTGTGGATTAGCTGTGTGACACAGTGCCTTTGTGTCCCTTAGTGATCCTGTTCTGCAAGGCTGATGCTGACATTTTCCCATCTGACAGCTCACATGTTTCTCTCTTGAGCCGTCACTGGAATTGAAGCCCTTTCTGCCAGAGTTGGAAGGAAAGTCCCGATAATTGGATGCTCATTGCCTTGAAGCTTTGGGCCTCTCTCCTGGGAGTTTGGCAGGTTCTCCTTCCTTCAGTCTCGTTGTGGTGTGCATGTTAGGTGTCCTTTGAGATTCCGTCCTTTCCAGCTTCACTGGCAGTGCACGGTCTTCCTTCGTTAGGTCCCACAGAGCATTCCATTATCGCCTTATGGGAAGATACATACTCACTTGCAGTCATTCCTCCAGCGATGACTGCTTGAGCCACGAATGTGAAATCTACACCCTGCTGTCTACGTGCTGTGTCTTTCTGCATGCACTGTCGCTGTTCGTGTTAATGCCGAATCATAGGGAACTCTTGTTGGAGACGTTTTCAGTGGCAGTCAAACCCGGCCCGTATAGAACCAGCAGTGCCTGTGGCTTGTTTGAAATGAATGCCATGGCCTTCTTCACATGTGTGAAGGGTTGGAAAAGCACATCACAGCTGCTGTGGGGCTGACAGCAGCTGTAAGACACTACTGAGTTTAGGACATCTAAATCAGAGAGATACTAAAATATGACCGAAATTGGCTTGGGTATTGATTAAATACAATGCGTATTTTTAAAAAATGACAAGATATTACGGTGATAGTTCTAGAGATCATTGGTCTGCACCAGGATTCTTAAGGAAATGATGAAGAGGAGGGCCACAAGTATATTTCTCTGGTGTATGTAGAGATCCCATCCTATCTCATCAATTTTTAAATAGGAACTTCTAGAGTTATCTTCTTCTTCTTTTTTTTTTTTAATTTTTTAATGTTTATTTTTGAGAGAGAGAGAGAAAGAAAGAGACAGAGTGAGAGTGGGGAAGGGGCAGGGAGAGAGGGAGACACAGAATCCAAAGCAGGCTCCAGGCTCAGCTGTCAGCACAGAGCCTGATGCGGGGCTTGAACGCACAAACCATGAGATCATGACCTGAGCCCAAGTTGGACGCTTAACCGACTGAGCCATCCAGGTGCCCCTGGAGTTATCCTGTTTCTGATTCTTGAGTTGCATCCGTCCTCCCCCTGACCTCCCACCCGACCCCAGTGTTCTTAGTGTCTTTGAATCCAGCCACTCTCTTTACAGAAATGAGATATGGCAGGGGATGAGAAATCAGGGACAGGGTAGGGGTGTATAGCAAGGGAGTGTGGGGGTGTAGGGCAGTTTGATTCTTTGTGGTTCCACAGTGGCCCTGATGTTGTTTTCCCTTAGTGGTTCAGGAGAAAATTACTACAGAGTTTGGAAGCTGGAAACTGGATATGGGGTATGTTTTCCCTTCCGCCTGATAGAGTCATTTTCTTCTAAAGTGAAAAATGAAACTTTATGTTGACAGTGGCAGTGACAGGGACACGCGTGTGTGTGTGTATAGTAATTCTGACAATACTGGTCAGCCCCTAGCTTCCCTGGGCCACCAGCCTGGTCCTTGGCCCCTCTGCAGGGGTAGCCCTTGTTGCCAGCTTGCTTTGCGCCCTGTGTCCTCCCAGACTTCTCTGTTTGTATTCGCCTCCTTGTCTATATACATAGTTACAGATGTTGATTTGTGGGTGCTTTTTTGGAAAAAAACAAAGAACAAAAAACAGTTAACATATTGTTTGCCTTGTTCTGCAACTTGTTCTTTTCATTGCTACGCTGGTGTCTGGAGGTCTTGCCATGCTAAGATTCATAATTGCTACATCGTAGTTCTGAGTTTAGATCAGTGATGGCCAGTAGAACTTCCTGTGATTGTGAAAATGTTTTAGCGGCTGTCTAGTTTGGTCACCACTGGTCGTTGCACGTGGCTAGTGTGACTGAGAACTGAATCATTTTCTTTGAGTTCAATTAAGATCAAATGGCTACGTGTTTAAATGTTTAAAGCACAAGTTTAAATGAGCCACAGTTTTTTCAACCATCCTCCTCTTGATTGGATATTAGGTTGTTTTAATTTTTCACCCTTTTTTTTTTAAAGGGCTGTGAATGTTTTATCTTCTTTTTTTTAATGTTTATTTTTGAGAGAGAGAGAGAGCGCGTGCACATAAGTGGGGGAGGGTCAGAGAGATGGAGATAGAGAATCCAAAGCAGGCTCCGTGCTGTCAGCACAGAGCCTGACACAGGGCTTGAGCCCACAAACCACGAGATCATGACCTGAGCTGAAGTCGGACACTAAACCAACTGAGCCACCCAGGTGCCCCAATTTTTCACTCTTTTAGATGAAATATTTTACTTAAAAATTTATCATTAAATAATGCTGCATTGGAAATTCTTGTACTTACCTTTCTGATTACTTACATATTTTTTTGAAAAAATGTTGGGGAGTAGAATAGAAAAGTAATCTACATTTTTAATGCTTTAGTGGATATTGCAAAAATCTCAATTTTCTGAAAATTTAATGTTTGAATATCATGAAAATTTAATATTTTAATATGATATCATGAAACTTGCAGTTCTCCGAAGGGGCTGTATTAATTGATACTTTCACTAACAGTACATATGATAGTGTCTGTTTCCCCGTGCACTTAGTTTTGCAAGTTTAATGACCAAAACAATGCTGTATGATTTGAATTTTTCCCTTTCTTGAGTTTTAGTGTGAGGGTACATCTAGTGTGTTTTTGGGGGCAGGCAGGAATTTCCCCCACAGTGTCTCATTTTTCTGCTGTGGTTTTGAAACTTCCGCATGATGTGTCTGGGGTAGATCTTTTTTCCTTTCATGTCACTAGATACTCCCTGGGTCTCTTTCATTCTCTGGGCATTTTCCCCCCCTATTATTTGAGTATCTCATCTCTTCTGTTTTCTCATTCTTTCCTTTGGGAACTGTTAGATGTTGAAAATTTTGGATCTAGTTTCTGTTGTTTCACTTTTTGTTATTTGGTCTTTTTCAAGTTTTGCGTTGTTATATATAGCGTTGTGGGAAAATCCCTTGGCTTGAAGACCCAGGCTTGTTTATCTGTGTCCGTTCTGCCACCGTAAAAGCCTGTTAGTGAGTTTCTTATTTCCACTGCCTAGGTTTCTTTTTGGTTCTTTTTCTTTCTTTTTAATTTTTTAAAAATGTTTATTCATTTTTTAGAGACAGAGACAGAGAGAGAGAGAGAGAGCACAGGCGGGGGAGGGGCAGAGAGAGAGTGGGAGACACAGAATCTGAAGCAGGCTCCAGGCTGTGAGCCATCAGCCCAGAGCCCAACGCCGGGCTTGAACTCATGAACTGCGAGATCATGACCTAAGCTGAAGTCAGACACTTAACTGACTGAGCCACCCAGGCGCCCCTGGTTCTTTTTCTTAACAGCCAGTTCTTTAAGTGTACGGTTTCCTGTTGTAGCTCCTGGGGAGAAAATAGACGTGTTTTCGTTTCTTTCTTTCTTTTTTTTTTTTTTTTTTAAGCAAACTTTACTCCCAACATGGGCTTGAACTCACAACCCTGAGATGAAGAGTCTCATGCTCTACCAACTGAGCCAGCCACGTACCCCCGAAATAGACCTGTTTTTATTAGAGTCCTTTCTTTTAAAGTCTCCTTTTATTTGCTTTATTAACTGTTTTCCTTCATTGTCACTTCTCCTCTTGGCTGGGTTTGCGCTGTTTGATGATATTTGGTGAGAGACAAGTCCATAAAACAGTTTAGGAAGACTTCCAGTGAAAATAAGGAAAATGCCCATGTGTATTTTTTGCTCCCTTACTCTTGGTAGTGTTGGACGAATTAGGCTGCCCTATAAAGATACCCGATCCGTGTGGTTATGCTGGGTATTTTTGCATTAGAGCGTTTTTCAAATAAATCAGCGTTCTGTTTATTTACTAAGTATTACTTAGTGCTTCCCGTGTACTAGGCATTGTACAAGGTGTTAGATGTTATTAATGCTTATATAGAAATTCATTGATATACCGTAGTTGTGAGAAAAAAAGTGAAGAGGGTATATTGAATGAAATAATACCATTTAACGAAGTGTCTGAATGTCAAGAACGTAATTTGAAACTATGGCCAGGATGAAGTCAGAAATAAATCACTGCACAGCTTAAAAAGAGTTTTGTCTTATAAACTCTCAGAAGTCGATGATGGGTATATCTTCAATTACAGTCACTTCAAATGTTCCAACAGTAAAAGGCTGCAGAGTAGACTGATATTTTAGTTATTTTCTTAAGGGTTCTTCATATCTTTAAAAAACCCCACCACCCTGACTATCCTTTAACAGATTGGTTTCTTCAAAATGCCATGACTCAGATATGGGAGTCATTCGTATGGAGTGTACTAATTTGGAATGTGACAGTTGCCTTGGATTCAGGTTGGATGCATATCATCCTTGCACTGTGAAATTGCACGTAACGGGGATTCATGAGAGGAATTCCTGTTGACTTTATAAAAACGTCTTTATACCCCATTATCAGTATTCACTGGCCCCTGGATATCAGCTAATCACCGATTAGCATTACTTTTTGTCTTAAGTCTGTGAGGCTCATACCTCTGTCCTATTTTTTCCTAGGTAGTAGGAGTTTCTTCATTTTCCAAAGGGGAAATTTACTTTGAACTTTTTCTCTTTTTGGAAGACTTTTCATGTGACCAGATGACAGTTTTGAGTCTAGGAATGTTCCTTTTTATTGACTGTCAGGTGCTGGCGTGAACAGCCTCTGGAGTAATCCCTGACCTCTTAATCTGTCACAGATCCCGGACTACAGGAATGCAGTGATCGTGGCCAAATCTCCAGCCTCGGCCAAAAGGTAGGTGGGAGCTCATGACTACTCCTTGGGTCCATGTGGAGAATCACATCCCCAGTTGGATCCTGGACATTCTGGATTCTGTCTCAGCGATTCCCTTAATTCTGTGGGCTTTTAATTTTTTTTTTTTTAAGCTTATTTATTTTGAGAGAGAGAGTGAGTGCACGCGCACAAGCAGGGAGGGACAAGAGAGAGAGGGAGAGAGAGATCCAAGCAGGCTTTGCACTGTCCGTGCAGAGCCTGATATAGGGCTCGAACTCACAAACTGTGAGATCATGTCCTGAGCTGAAGTCAAGAGTTGGATGCCTAACTGACTGAGCCCCCCAGGCACCCCTGTGGGTTTTTAGTTTAGAAGATTGTCTGCTGACTCCATTTTATTTTATTTATTTATTTTTTATTTTTTTATTAAAAAAAATTTTTTTTTTCAACGTTTATTTATTTTTGGGACAGAGAGAGACAGAGCATGAATGGGGGAGGGGCAGAGAGAGAGGGAGACACAGAATCGGAAACAGGCTCCAGGCTCTGAGCCATCAGCCCAGAGCCCGACGCGGGGCTCGAACTCATGGACCGCGAGATCGTGACCTGGCTGAAGTCGGACGCTTAACCGACTGCGCCACCCAGGCGCCCCTGCTGGCTCCATTTTAAAAGTGATGATGTATTTTCGTCTTTTTTTTCAATCCCAATATGTGACCAGTAGTCAGAAACTTCCAGGTGTAGGGATGCCTGACCTAGTTCTTGATTGGCAGCCGCTCGTCGGTCTTCAGATCTGCCCTTTAAAATACCAGTGAATATACTTTGTGACTGTTCACTGCCTTTTATTAGAAGAACTCAGTAATTTATTAACAGAATTATATCCAGCCAAGAGGCCACTTACTGGTACATGTTAAAAGGTGACATTTTACTGAGGCCTACAAATAGGGCAGTGCTGAGGGTTCTGTGTAACCTGGAGTAACTGATGAATCGGTAATACAGGACTTAAAGAGACTTGGGGTTGAGAGGATTTCCTACACCAGCATTTCCAACAAAGCGGGAAAGGGAGAGAATAAAAGCATATGTTGGAAGAAAGGCTTTTTCCTAAAACTCTTTTAAAATTGTGTCCCGCAATTATCCTGCCTTTGGTCACTGGATCCCTGTTAAGCCCTGTGGTGTGTAAGGAGGCCACAGGCACCTACCTCTGGCCTGGGCCCGCAGACCGTTGCTACTGAAAGATGAGGAGAGCTCGCGGACGATAAGCCGCTGGTTTCGAAGGTATTACGATAAGTAGTTTTCCGTGGTAAACGAGGAATGACATTGGGTCTATTAACGAGGTTGGCATTATTGCTAAAAACATGGAGTTGTGTCCAGTGCAGCCAGTGCTATGTCCACACAGCGCTTCTGTTAAGAGTCTTTATCAGCAGAGTCTTGTCCATTTGATTAAGTTGGAGTCAACCGTGACTCGTTTTGGAACATAAGATCCCATTTTTCCAAGCATTGTGCTGGATCAGATTTAATTTAGTAATTTGTTTTTCTCTGATACACATGGTTTCAGTTGTTGTGAAGGTGAAAATCGTAGAACATGGAACTGATCATTTTAAAGTCTACAGTTCATTGGCAGTTAGCGCCCTCACAGTGTTGTGCAACGACCACCACTCTCTTGTTTCAGAACTTTCTCATCACTCCTGAAGGACACCCCGGACCCGTTAAGAAATCACTCTCCATTCCCTTCTCTCCCCAGCCCCTGGCAACCACTGATCTGCTTTCTGTCTCTGGATATGCCTCTTCTGGACATTTTATATAAATGGAATCGTACACTGTGTGGCCTTTTGCATCTGGTTTCTTTCACTTGACACAATGTTTTCGGGGTTCCTTCACGTTGTGGCCTGTGTCAAGATCTCATTCCGTTTCATGGCTGACTACTCTTCCAGCCTGTTTAGCCATCCACGTATTGAGGGATGTTTGGGTTGTTGCCACCTAGTGGCTGTTGTGAGTAGCACTGCTGCAAACATTTGTGTACCCGTTGCCGTGTGGACGCGTGGTTTCCTTTCTCCTGGATGGATACCTAGGATTGAAAGCGCTGGGCGTATGGTAATTCTAGGTTTACATTTTTTTAAATGTTTCTTTATTTTTGAGAGTGAGAGTGTGAGCAGGGGTGGGGTGGAGACAGGGAGACACCGCCAGGGCAGAGCCCAACCCGGGGCTTGGACTCACGAACTGTGAGATCATGACCTGAGCTGAAGTTGGATGTGCAACCCACTGAGCCCCCCAGGTGCCCCCTGTGTTTACATTTTTGAGGGGCCCCCACACCATGTCACATTCTCACCAGGAACGTACGAGGATTCCAATCTCTCCACATCCTGACCAACGCTTATTTGCTGTTTCGTTACTGTTACAGCCATCCTAGTGGGTGTGAAGTGGTGTCTCGTTGTTTTGGTTTGTACTTCCCTGGTGATGAATGATGTTGAGCGTCTTTTCATGTGCTTCTTTGGAGAAATGTCCAGTCAGTTATTTGTACTTTTGTTTTTTTTTTTAAGAGAGAGCGAGTATGAGCTAGGGGAGGGGCGGAGGAAGAGAGAGAGAATGAATCCTAAGCAGGCTTCATGCTCACTGCAGAGCCTGACGTGGGGCTCCATCCCACGACCCTGGGATCGCTACCTGAGTCAGAATCAAGAGTCAGATGTTCAACCGACTGAGCCAGCCAGGTGCCCCTTTTTGCACATTTTTTTAACTGGGTGGTTTTTCTTTTTGTGGTTGAATTGTAGGAGTCCTTTATATATTCTGGAGACTAGATCCTTATCAGATACGTGGTTTGTAAATATTTTACCCCATTTTGCAGGTTGTCTTTTTCCGTCTTGATATGGTCCTTTGACGCACAGAAAGTTTTTAATTTTATGGAGTCCAGTTTAGCATTATTGTTACTGCTTTTGCTTCTGGCATCATATCTAAGCAGCCATTGCTAAACCCAGGGCATTAAGTTTTACCCCTATGATTTCTCCCAATAGTGTAGTTTTAGCTCTTAGGTTTGGGTTGTCGATCGATTTTGAATTAATTTTTGTGTCTGGAGGGAGCCGTAGGTAGGGGTCCAGCTTCTTTCTTTTCCATGTGATTGTCTGGTTGTCTAGCACCGTTTGTCAAAAAGACTGTTCTTTCCCCCTTGAATGGCTTTGGCATTCTTGTCAAAAATCACTCGGCCATAGATGTTTGTGTGTATTTCTGGACTCTCAGATCTGTTCTGTTGACTGTATGTCAGCACCACACTGTTGTGGTTGCTGTGGCTTTGTAGGAAGAGTTGGATGAAAACACTCACAAGTGGGTCAGAGTGCGAGCACCGCTCCCTGGGAATCCTCTGCTGACACAGGTGGGGAGTGGCCCTGTTACCACCGACTGACGGGGCCCCATCTGACGCCACCTCACAGGGGAGGGGGAAGGGCACCTCTTTACTGCCGAGTCGGGGTGGAAGTCCAGGTGACCCTCTGCACTGACACCCGGCGGGGCGCGGGGCTGATGACCGCCCGGTGGGGATGAAAAGTGCCAGCCCCCTACTTGGCCGTCTCTTCAACTACCCCCTTGGCGGGTTTGGGGCTCATCGATATCGCCTGGCAAGGGAGGCAGTGCAGGCCCCCTGCTTGACCTAAACTCGTGTGGGCGAGTGGCATAGCTGGTTTTTCCTGGGGTGGCCGGGGGTAGGGTTAAAGTTTTCTGACGTGGGAGGCGGTCTCTCTCTTGGTCCTGTGGCTGGAGAAAGCAGGCTTTTGTCTGCGCTTCTTTGGTATGTGCCTCTTGGCGTTTTGGGCCGCCCACCTCTCCAGCTGCGAGTCTGGGATATGGGATAATGAGACAGAAAGACCAGAGGACTCAGCACCTTGTTATCCCCGCAGTCCTGAGGTCCCCGGCCAGTCTGTGTCTCCTGTCCTCTTCAGAGTCTTCTTAGGTTTGTTTCATGTATACCATCCGGGTTTTCAGTTCTGCTCCGTGGTGGGGGGCCTTCCATCTCGGCGGAGACCGGAGTAGCAGCAGTGTGTGTCGATCGGTTTTTTCCCACTAAATACCAAAAGAATATGATGAATTTTCATTTGACTCGCCCATATGGATAGGCTTTTGGTAACTTTTATAATACTCAGTTTACATCTGACTTCATGTGTTGATGGGATTTTATCATTGTAATAGCCTTTGGATTCGTTTATTTGGCATTTGTTGGTACAGTTGACTCTTGAGCAACACAGGTTTTAGCGGTGCCGACCCCCCTGTGCTTCAGAATCCATGCATAACTTGGACTTCCCCAGGACTCAACTACTGACAGACCGCCGTTGACTAGAACCTCACCGATAGCGTAACCAGTCAATTAATACAAGTTTTGTATGTTACGTGTAGTATACTGTATTCTTACAATAAAGTAAGCTAGAGAAAAGAAAACGTTATTAAGAAAATCATGAGGAAGAGAATACATTTACAGTATTGCACTGTATTTATATAAAAAAAAATTGGCTGTGAGTGGACCCACGCAGTTCAAACCCATATTGTTCAAGGGTGGGCTGTACCACACTGAGGTTGTCATTTACCCATTCAGATGTTTATTGAGAAGCTATGGTGCCGGTCGGATGAGACCCGAGAAGGTGCCCTCAGGGAGCTTAGGTTTAGCGGCAGATGTTTTAGCTGCTATTGTGGACTGAATGTTTGTGTCCCCCCAACATTCGTCTTGAAATCCTCACCCCCACTGTGATGGTTTTAGGAGGGGAGGCCTTTGGGAGGTAATTAGGTCACGAAGGAGGAGCCGTCATGTATGGGCTCAGTGCCCTTAGGAGAAGAGACCAGTGCTGCAGGGGCCGTCTGCTCTCTGCCATGCGAGGGCACAGTGAGAGACAGAGGCTGTGTGCAAACCAGGAAGCAGGCCCTCATCTTGGACCTGTAGCCTCCAGAACCGTGAGAAACACATTTCTGTTGTTTAAGCACCCCCGGTCTGTGGTATCCAGTTACAGCAGCTGGAACTAAGACGTCTGTGTTACCTCACTTGATCTTCTCTAGCTAGGAGGCCAGCGTCTTCCCTCCTCTCCCGCCCGCCCGGCCGCCCCCCCCCCCCCCCCCCCCCCAGATGAAGAAACACACCCAAGGGGCTGAAGAAGGCGATCCATGGTGATTGAACTGTGTATGTTCACTGGAAAGTAATGGCACCGCTAATCACTTCTCAGGGTGTTTTCCACACCAGTGATTATGGGATTTGGGTGTTGGCCAAATATGATTCAGGTGGACTTGCCCCTCCACTTGGTAGATATGTAAGTGCTACTTGGACTTTGAGAAAGAGTACCAAAGTTGGAGATGTAACACTGAAGTCAGGACTGACCATAAAGCTAAAGCAATCGTGATTGTGTGTGATTGGGAAAAGATAGAAAAATAGCTCAGTGGAACAGAACAGAGTCCAGAAATAGACCTACGCGTATCTCGAATACTGATTTCCAGCAGAGGGGCAGAGGCAATTCTGAATGGAGAAAGGATAGTCCTTTGAACAAATGGTGTGGGAATGACTGGAAATTCATGTGCAAAATCATCAATTCTGAGCCATGTTTTACATGATGTACAAACATCAATTAAAAATGAATCCCAGGGGCGCCTGGGTGGCGCAGTCGGTTAAGCGTCCGACTTCAGCCAGGTCACGATCTCGCGGTCTGGGAGTTCGAGCCCCGCGTCGGGCTCTGGGCTGATGGCTCGGAGCCTGGAGCCTGTTTCCGATTCTGTGTCTCCCTCTCTCTCTGCCCCTCCCCCGTTCATGCTCTGTCTCTCTCTGTCCCAAAAATAAATAAATGTTAAAAAAAAAAAAAAAATTAAAAAAAAATAAAAATGAATCCCATACCTAAATGTAGAACCTAAAACTATAAAGCTCCCAGAGGAAAACATGGGAGAAAAATCTTTGTGACTTTGGTTGGACAAACATTTTTTATTTTTATTTTTTTAATTTTTTTCAACGTTTTTTATTTATTTTTGGGACAGAGAGAGACAGAGCATGAACGGGGGAGGGGCAGAGAGAGAGGGAGACACAGAATCGGAAACAGGCTCCAGGCTCTGAGCCATCAGCCCAGAGCCCGACGCGGGGCTCAAACTCACGGACCGCGAGATCGTGACCTGGCTGAAGTCGGACGCTTAACCGACTGCGCCACCCAGGCGCCCCATGGACAAACATTTTTTAAATATGACACTAGAAATCCGTTTTATAAGAAGAAAGTTGTCACATCATGTGTCATCAAAATTAAAACTACTCTTCCAAAGACTTTATGAAGAGAATGACAGAAGACACAGACAGAGTGGGAGGAAATTTTGGGAAAGCCTGTATCTGATAAAGAATTTGTATTTAGAATGTGTAAAGAATTCCCAAAACTTAGGGAACTAACAACCCAACTAAAAAACTGGCAAAAGATAAACAGACCCTTTACCCCAAAGTATATATTCAGTTGGCAGGTAAGCACGTGAAAATGTTCAGCACCATTTGTTATGAGGCCAGTCCAAACTGAGGCCACAGTGAGGCACCTGTACGTGCCGTTAGCATGGGTAGTAGTTGAAGTGACTGACCACACTGAGTGGCAGAACTTGGAGGCCCTGGAACCCTCGTGCGCAGTTCGTGGGAATGTAAAATGGTATAACCACTTTGGAAAAGAGTTCGTTGTTGTGTTTTTAATTTTTTAATGTTTTTTATTTTTTAAGGGGGAGAGAGAGAGACAGAGACAGCACAACGTGGGGAGGGGCAGAGAGAGAGAGAGGGAGACACAGAATGTGAAGCAGGCTCCAGGCTCTGAGCTGTCAGCACAGAGCCGACGCGGGGCTTGAACCCATGAACCGTGCCGTGAGATCATGATCTGAGCTGAAGTTGGACGCTTAACCGACCGAGCCACCCAGGTGCCTCACGGTTGTTTTTTTAGAGAGCTAAATATATGCCTGTCCTATGATCCAGCCATTCTACGCCTAGCTATTTACCCTGGAGAAAAGAAAACGTAAGTCCATGCCTCTGCATGAATATTTGTACATGAATATTCAAAGCAGTTTTGTAATGGTTCAGAACTGGAAACAATGCAGAAGTTCAAGTGAATGGACAAACTGTGATAGACCCAAACAACAGATTGTGGCAGTGTAAAGGGGTGACTTTGGTGTCCCATGTAAAATGGATGGATCTCCAACATTTTTTCCTTAGTGAACGAAAAAAGAAAAAAAAAAAAAAAAAAAAAAAAAAAGATACTCTGATTCTACTTACAGAATTCTAGAAAAGGCAACACTATGCTGACAGAGAACAAACTATTGGTTTGCCTGGTGCCGGAAGGAGAAATTACAAAGGGGCACCAGGACGTGCCTGGCAGTGAGAGAGATTTTCCTGGTCTTCATTGTGCTGATGGTTGCACGGATGTGTACGCACATCAGAGCCTATGAGATTGTACAGTGTAAATGTGTATATTTTATGGTGTCTTTGTTCTATCTCAGTACAATTTAAAAATCGACGATGGGGCGCCTGGGTGGCTCAGTCGGTTGAGCGGCCGACTTCGGCTCAGGTCACGATCTTGCGGTCCGTGAGTTCGAGCCCCGCGTCAGGCTCTGTGCTGACAGCTCGGAGCCTGGATCCTGTTTCAGATTCTGTGTCTCTCTCTCTCCGACCCTCCCCCGTTCATGCTCTGTCTCTCTGTGTCTCAAAAATAAACGTTAAAAAAAAAAAGTTTAAAGATCGACGCTTACTGCTTTTCTGAGGCTGTAACGCACCTTGTCTCCTGTGGTTGGTTCTCACTATGAAGTGCGTGGCCGGGTGGATTAGCAATTAAAAGCCGGGAGGCTGAGGCTTCCCGGAGTCACTGCTGTAGGCTCCCCAGTGGGCCGAGCACAGAGCAGGCTGGCCACCGCCCATCGCTGTCCCGGCCAGAGGGGCACGCTCGTCACGTGGGGACTCCACACTTTGTCCTGCATCCTAACACTTGCAGGTCACCTTCTTTCTCTTCTCACGAATTCTTTCGGAAACCGCATCTGATTTATGTTGTCTTGTTTTTCCCCCGCGAACGCTGGAGAACGGGGGCTGCGTGATTTCTGAACTGTGTCTACCGCTCTCTCTCAGGGCACAGTCTTTTGCGGAGCGCCTGCGACTGGGAATTGCGGTGATTCACGGGGAAGCGCAGGACGCCGAGTCCGACTTGGTGGATGGACGGCATTCCCCGCCCATGGTCAGGAGTGTGGCTGCCATCCACCCCAGCCTGGAGATCCCCAGTAAGTGCGCTGGCCCCTCTTTGTCACTTCCTGCTTTGGTTTTAAGGCTGACTGAATTTGTCGTTTTTCAGCTGTGAACTGCCTCTTCTCTGTTTTTTCTTTAAGTTGGCAAAAATGACTAATACTTTTCCTGGCCTGGCCTGGTTGTCACAAGTGCATTTCAGAGAGCCCTGTGGACTGTAGAGCCTTCTAGAAGCAGTCGGTGTGATCACAGCAAGAACTAGGAAAAGACTCCGTTCTGGCACGTCAGGGAATTTCATTCATTCAGTAATATATCCTAGAGAAGGGTTTAACATCAGCAGAAAACTTTGTATGTGCAAGTTATTCACTATAGTGTTATTTTGAATGCAGAATATTGGAAAAGTCTAAACGGCTTAGCAGAGGGTAGGGCTTGAATTATGCTGTATCAGCACAGCTAATTATGCAGCCTGTTGACATAATTAAGACTGTCTGGACACAAGAGAAAAATCTGGAACATATGGGAATGGGCAGAACATGAGAGGGTATACCTGTGTTTGTGTGAGGCCTGGGAGGGAATATGGAAGGTGAAAATACTCGTGACAGGGTGGTAGGGTTATGTGTGAATTTGCTTTTGTTTCTAAGAAACTTCTTCGTGCTTTATTAACATCTTCTTGATTAAAAAAATACTGCCTTTGTTTGAGTCTGATGGGGAGGAGAAACTTATCCTCTGCCCTCTTTAGGTTCAGGCTTTGAGGCCTGCAATAAAACACAAAAGAAGGCACCTGGGTGGCTCATTTGGTTAAGTGTCTGGCTCTCGGTTTCGGCTCAGGTCATGATCTCACGGTTTGTGAGTTCGAGCCCTGTGTCCAGCTCTGTGCTGACAGTGTGGAGCCTTCTTAGGATCCTCTGTCTCCCTCTCTCTCTGCCCTCCCCCACACTTGCTCGCACACACTCTCTCTCAAATAAATAAGTAAACGTTAAAAAAAAACAACAAAAGATAGATGAGTGCGAGAGAAGACAGGGTTTAGGATTGGGGGCCTCTATACCATTTTAACAGGGGAAGCGGAAGCTAGAAAACAGGTGACTTTTAGGAGAGATGAGCGGCTCCTCAGCACGGATGGCAGTAGGATAGCTTTGTGACAGTGTCTGTTGAGGTGTGGTGCTGACCTCTAGTCTCCATGGTAGGTCAGTCCTTCCTGGTTGTTCTTGGAGTGGATTTCTGACATGGGCATTCTTTTGAATGGGCATTCTTTTGGGGGGCTCTGCTTTTAGGCAGTAGTGGATGTCAGGAGCCCCAGTGCCTTCGGCTCAAGGGATAAGCCCTTCCCCTGAGCGTGGGGGAAAGCATGTTCCTGTTCAGTTTGGCAGTCACGTGGGCTCCATTCCGGAACACATCCCGCAGTCTTTAGACGAATCAGCTCCTTTTAACTTCTGGGTCTTAGCTTTAAATGGGGTCTTAGCTAGTGGTTTCTGGACTGCAGAAATGGAGCTGCTGGTTTCCCATCTGCAAACCAGGGAATGGAGGGCGTCTGGGTGGCTCAGTCGGTTAAGCGTCCGACTCTGGCTCAGGTCATGATCTCGTGGTCCTTGTGTTCGAGTCCCATGTTGGGGTCTGTGCTGATGGCTCAGAGCCTGGAACCTGCTTTGGATTCTGTGTCTCCCTCTCTCTCTGCCCCTTTCCCGCACATGCTCTGTCTCTCTCTCTCTCTCTCTCTCTCTCTCAAAAATAAATAAACATTAAAAAAATTTCTTTTTTAATTTAAAAAAAAAAATGAAAACCAGGGAATGGGACTCTCTGACGTTTCCTCCATCTGTTTATTTGCTCTCTCTGTTTCAGCTCATTTCACTCACGATTTTAATTATAACATTTCTGTGCTTATGTTTTAACCCAGGTGGTGAACGCTGGAAGATTTGGGGGGGATTATAATTGAGAAGTTGAATTTCGCAGCTCCTACGTGTTGCACTTTGCTTTTGCACACTTGATGGCCTGACCCTCTCTGTGTAATACTTGTTAAAGTTAATAGCAAATAGATACATGACAGCAAAAGAAAGCATTGTTCCTGTGGTATCTGACGCATCTATTTTGAGATTTTGATTGTATCACAAGATTTTGATATTTAGTGTTAGATTTAAAAAATTAGTTTGTGGGGCCCCTGGGTGGCTCAGTCGGTTAAGCATCCAACTCTTGATCTCAGCTCAGGTTTTGTTTGATCTCAAGGTCGTGAGTTCAAGCCCCCCTTTAGGCTCCGTACTGGGTGTGGAGCCTACAAAAAAAATAAAAAAAAAAAAAAATAAAATGTTAGTTTGTACATTCTGGTTTCTTAAACATGAAAAACGCCAACTAAAACAGAAAACAGTTCTTTTCCAGAGTGTGTACACGTTATATAAATATTCCAAACATTCCGTTATAAAGGAAGAAAATAATCATCAATGCTACATCCAGAGACCCATTTCTCTTTTCATGGGTCTCTTCTCAGGTTTTCCTTACTTGTGTTAAGGAGAGGCGCTGCATCCTGGGCACAGAACGCGCGCCTCCCTCCATAACGTACCTTCGCCCACGTGATTAAAAACTTGCGTAAACAGCATTTTTAATGGCTGTTGAATATCCCATCTTAAAGATGTGGCTTAAACCTAAGCCTGAGCAGGGTCTGGCTGGTACTTGTTCTCGCCTGCTCCTTGCCAGTAGAATGTTGTAGTGTGCGTATGTGGGTAAAAACTTCTGCACTTGGGTTTATTTCATTGTAAGTTTCTAAAAGTGAGATTAAGGAGGCCCAAGCTGAGAGTGTTCGTATGGCTCTTTGTGGGGTTGATTCCCTAAAGGCTACACCGCTGTGCTCTTTCCCCGGTACTGGCGTCAGGTGCCTGGGAAAAGTGTGGAAAATGTAAAAAAAAAAAAAAAAAAAAAAAAAAAAAATCACTTCAGTTTTGGGATTTGTCTTGCTCTGTTGGGTTTTGCATTTCTGTCGTACCCCGCTGCCCCCCGCCCGCCCTGCCACCTAGGATCACACATTGCGTTGAATTGTCATACCCCCTTAGCTACCCTTTTAATCCACAGCAGTGATTCCCAACCAGGGGGTGCCATTGGATTTTGTCCCATTGAGGACATTTGGAGGTGTCTGCAGACATTTTTGGAGGTCACAAGTGAGGGGGCTGCTCCTGGCATCTAGTGAGAAGAAGCCAAGGACACTGTAAAGGTCCTGTGACACACAGGACAGCCCCCACAACAAAGAATTATCTAACCCAAAACATCAGTGGTGCTGAGGTGGAGCAGCCCTGATCTGGAGCACTCCTACTTTTTCCTTCAGTGACGCTGACCTTTCTGCAAAAATTGAGTGAAAGTCACATAACCTAGAATCAGCCATTTTTGAAGGTACACAGTTCACTGGCGTTTCGTACGTCTGCAGCGTGGTGCAACCACCATTTCTCCCTGGTTTCGAACACCTCATCCCCCCGGAAAAACACCCCTACCCATTAAATTATCACTCCCATGCCCCCTTTCTGTTGCTATGAATTTGCCTGTTCTGGACATTTCATAGAAACGGAATCATACAGTCTGTGACCTGCGTCTAGTTTCTTTCACCAAGCATAATGTCTTTGACGTTCATCCAAGTCGTTGGGTGTACTGGGACTTGATTCCTTTCCTTGGCCGGATGCTTTTCCGTTGTGTGTGGATATGGCACAGCTTGCTTGTCATTCCCCCACTGGTGGGCACTGGAGTTGCATCTGCCTTTGGCTCTAAGGCTGTGACGTTCATTCGTGTGCCCGCTTCCCACAGACCTAGGATTTCATTTCTCCAGGGTTAGAATTGCTGGGTCTCGTCGTAACTTTATGTTTAACTTTCTCAGGAGCCCTCGAACTGTTTTCCACAACAGCTGTGCCATTTTACCTTCCTCCCAGCCATATATAAAGGTTCTGATTTCTCCATATCCTTCTCAACACTTATTTCCTGATTTTTAAAGATGTTTATTTTTTTTGAGAGAGAGCGAGCAGGAGAGGGGCAGAGGAAGAGAGAGAATCCCCAGCAGGCTCCGCGCTGTCAGCCCCACCGATGTGGGGCTCCCTCTCAGGAACTGTGAGATCATGACCTGAGCTGAAATCAAGAGTCAGATGCTTAACTGACTGGAGCCACCCAGGCGCCTCTCCTGATTTTTTTTATAATAGTCTCCCTAGCAGGTTGAAGTGGTACTTTGTTGTAGTTTTGACCTGCATTTCTCTAATGGCTAATGATGTTGCATGTGCTTGTTCACTTGTATATCTTCTTTGGAGAAGTGTCTATTCAGATGTTTTGCTTACTTTTAAAATTGGTTTGTTTGCCTTTTTATTGTTGAGTTGTAAGAGTTCTTTATATACTCTAGACACCAGACTAGCGTGACTGTGAGATCGTGACCTAAGCCGAAAGAGTCGGATGCTTAATTGACCGAGCCACCCAGGTGCCCCACTTATATGTGGCATCTAAAGAAAAAGCTCAACTCATAGAAACAGACAATAGAATGTTAGTTGCCAGGGCCTGGGGTGGTGGAGGAAATGGGGAGATGTTGGTCAAAGGGTACACACTTGCAGTTATAAGTTCAACAAATTCTGGGGATCTAATGTACAACATGATAACTGTAAATTAATAATACTGTATTATATACATGAAAACTTAAAAGTTACTGAGAGTAGTTCTTAATGTTTCTTACTACACACACACACACACACACATTGTAATCATGTGAAGTGATGGATGTGTTAATTAATCTTACTGTGGTAATCATTTTGCCGTATGGATGTGTATCAAATCGTTATGTTGCACACCTTGAACTTAACAACTAGTTCTTTGTCAGAGACATCTCAGTAAAGCTGGGGGGAAAATTGATTGGCTATAAATGTTTATTTCTTGACTCAGTTCTTTTCCTTGATCTATATCCTCATCCTTATGCTAGTACCACATACGATTAATACAGCTTTGTAATAAGTTCTGAAATAGGGAAGTGTGAGTCCTCCACCTTGATTCTTTCTTTTTTGAGATTGTTTTGGATATTTGGGGTCCCTTGTATTTCCATATTTCAGGAATTTATGGTCAGTTCATTTCTGTCAGAAAAGCAGTTGGGATTCTGATAAGGATTGTATTGAATCTCTAGGTCACTGGGAGCATTGCCATCTTAACAGTATTAATACTTACATCCATGAACATGGGCTGTTTTTCCATTTATGTATGTTTTCTTTAATTTCTTTGAGCAGTGTTTTAATTTTTTCTTTTTTTTTTTTTAATTTTTGAGAGAGAGAGTGTGAGCTGGGGTAGGGGCAGAGAGAAAGGGAGACACAGAATCTGAAGCAGGCTCCAGGGTTTCAGGTGTCAGGCTCTGAGCCAATGGTCAGATGCTTAACCAACTGAGCCACCCAGACACTCCTGAGCAGTGTTTTAATAGTTTTTAGTGTACAAGTGTTTCACCTGTTTGGTTAAATTTATTCCTAGGTGGGGCGCCTGGGTGGCTCAGTCGGTTAAGCGTCCGACTTCAGCTCAGGTCACGATCTTGCGGTCCGTGAGTTCGAGCCCCGCGTCGGGCTCTGGGCTGATGGCCCAGAGCCTGGAGCCTGCTTCCGATTCTGTGTCTCCCTCTCTCTCTGCCCCTCCCCCGTTCATGCTCTGTCTCTCTCTCTCTGTCTCAAAAAATAAATAAACGTTAAAAAAAAAAATTTATTCCTAGGTATTTTATTCTTTTAGATGCTTTTATAAATGGAGTTGTTTTCTTAATTTCTTCTTTAGATTGTTCATTGCGGGCATGTAGAAACAACCGATTTTTGTGTGTTACCTTACAACATTTGCTGCATTGGTGTATTAGCTTTTGTAGTTCCTTGTGGATTCTTTGGTATTTCTTATATATAGGATCAAGTCACTTGCTGATAGAAATAGTGTTACTTCTTACTTTCCAATCTGGATGCCTTTTATTATTTTTTTTTCTTGCCTAATTGCCCTGGCTAGCACCTTCTGTACAATATCGAATAGCAGTGGAGAGGATGGGCATCCTTGTCTTGTTCCGGATGTTAGGGGAGAGTTTTCAGTCTTTCATTAAGCATGATGTCAGCTGTGAATTTTTCACAGTTGCCCTTTATCAGGTTGAGGAAGTTTCCATCTGTTGCTAGCTTCTTGAGTCTTTTTATCATGAGACATTAACTTCTTAGAGGCTGTATCGTACGTTTTAATATAGAAACTTTTGTGTGTGTGTTTTCTTCTGACCAGTGCTAATTCCTAAAGAAAAGCCCCCAATCACAGTTGTTGGCGATGTGGGAGGAAGGATCGCCATCATTGTGGTATGTAGACCTCTTTTATTATTCATTGTTGTGTTTTGCCATTGTTACTCTGCTGAATTATTTGCTAATTATGTGGGGATAGCAGTATGGCCAGGTAAGTCTCATTTAAGTTGGTACCTGGGCTAAATGTTTACTTTGGTCCAAAAATTGAAAATTGTTATTAGTTTACTAAGAAATTATAACTCCTTAGTCAACTAAAATATTGTGCAGCTGATGTTCATAACATGGGAAATTGTTTTGTGCTGAAAGCGTCCGAAATTGATTATGACTGTTTAAAACACACATCCTCTTGCACTTCATAAAACTAGCGCACGAAAGGAGTGTCTTTAATGCCTGTATAGTTACAAGAGGAGTAAAATGAACACGTGGGTCCCCCATTACTCAGCTTGGAATCAGAACATTGTCCTGTCCCCCTGAAGCCACTTCTGGGCTTTGCCCTGGTCTCCCCTTCCTCTGTTCCCCCCAGAGGTTGTCAGCAGCCTGAAAGTCGTCATTCGTACCCTTACTTGCCGTTGCAGTCTGCCATGGGTGCGTGTGTCCGAAACACTAGGTTGTTTTCGTTTGCAGGTTTTTCATGTTTATATAATGAAGTCTTTGTGTACTTTGTGACTTTTGTTCAACGCTGTTTTGAGATTCCTCTGTGTAGTTAACATGTGGTTGCACGTTAACATTTCTTCATTGCTGTGTGCCCGTTCCATGGTACAGCCATGGAACTGTTCTGTTCTGTCCATGGTACTGATCTGTTCTCCAGGCATTGAACATACAGTTTTTCTTTCTTTTTTTTTAATGTTTATTTATTTGTTATTATTTAAAAATTTTTTATTTATTTTTGAGAGAGAGAGAGAGCACAGGGGAGGGGCAGAGAAAGAGGGAGACGCAGAATCTGAAGCAGGCTCCAGGCTCTGAGCTGTCAGCACAGAGCCCGACGGGGGGCTCGAACTCGCAAGCTGTGAGAGATGACCTGAGCTGAAGTCAGACGCTTAACCAACTGAGCCACCCAGGCGCCCTTATGTATTATTTTTTTAATGTTTATTTATTTTTGAAAGAGAGTGAGAGCGCGCATGCGTGTGAGCTGGGGAGGGGGCAGAGAGAGGGAGGGAGACGCAGAATCTGAAGCAGGCTCGAGGCTCTGAGCTGTCAGCACAGAGCCCAATGCGGGGCTCAAACTCACGAACTGTGAGATGATGACCTGAGCTGAAATTGGATGCTTAACTGACTTAGCTACCCAGCGGCCCTTGATTGTTTATTTTTGAGAGAGAGCGAGTGAGCAAGAGCAGGGAAGGGGCAGAGAGAGGGAAACAGAAGATCCGAAGCAGGCTGTGCACTCGAACTCACAAACCATGAGACCATGACCTGAGCCGAAGTCAGACGCTTAACTGACCGAGCCACCCAGGCTCCCCTGAACGTAAAGTTTTTCTGTTTCCAAATAATACTGTTTTGAACAGTGTTGCGTCTCTTTTCTGGTGCATACACGTTAGACTTCCTTGGTGCCTGGGAGTGGGGCTGGGGGTCTAAGGCACACACATTCCCAACTTCACTGGCTGGTGCCAACTTGTTCCCAAAGTGGCCGCGCCAATTAACCAGGGCTCCCTGGTGCTTATAGTTTTGTTTGTACTTTTTCTGAATCAGAAAATCTCCGATGTCACCCTATAGGGTAATAATAGCTGTGCCCGTTAATTTATTCCTTAATCAGCAAAATCTATAGCAACAAGATGCTGTGAATTCAGTAAAGCCTTTGCCCCCTTTCTGCTGCAGCTACATTTAAGAAAAGACACTTTTTTTAATGTTTATTTTTGAGAGAGAGAGACAGAGACAGAGAGAGAGAACGCGCGCTCATGAGTGGGGGAGGGGTAGAGAGAGAGGGAGACAACAGAATCCGAAGCAAGCTTCAGGCTCTGAGCTGTCCGCACAGCCTGACATGGGGCTCGAACCCGCCAATCTCGAGATCGTGACCTGAACTGAAGTTGGACGCTGAACTGACTGAGCCACCCACGTACCCCACAACTTTTTTTTTTAAAGTAATTATTGATTCATAGGAAGTAGCTCCCCCCAGATTATACAGACACATCTTGTGTCCTCTTTATCCAGCGTCCTCCTCCTTGCTTAACTGTACCACAATCTGGAAATTCAGATCACCACCACTCATAGAGCTGCTTCTGATATTGCCGGTCTTGCATACGTGCATATGGACGTGGAGCTTTGTGTAACCACCACTGCAATCCAGATATGGAACTGTTCCATCACCACGAAGCTCCTTTGTGCCACTCCTTTATGGCCACACCCCCTTCCTGCCCACCTGATCACTAACTTGTGGCCGTGTCTAGTCTGCCCTCTTTTTTACTTAAAAATTTTTTTTTAGTGTTTATTTTGGAGACAGAGGGAGAGACAGCGTGAATGGGGGAGGGGCAGAGAGAGAGGGAGACACAGAATGTGAAACAGGCTCCAGGTTCTGAGTTGTCAGCACAGAGCCAGATTCAGGGCTTGAACTCATGAACCACGAGATCATGACCTGAGCTGAAGTCGAATGCTTCACCGACTGAGCCACTCAGGCGCCCATGTCCTCTCTCTTTATAACGGTTATTTCAAGAAAGTCATATAAGTGGAATATATAGTAGGTAGCCCTTTAAGATTGATTTTTTTTTTTTTTTTCACTTAGCACGTCTCCCTGGAGATCCATCAAGTTGTTATGTATATTAATATTTGCTTTTAGTGCTGAGCAGTATTCCATGTAGGTTGGTACCCCAGTTGAACCACTCACTGATTAAAGGACATTTGGATTGTTTCTAGTTCTCTGCTATTAGATATTAAATTGCTCTGTGCTTTTGTGTATGGGTTTTTGTGTGAACAGAGCTTTCCTTTTTGTGGGATAAATGACCAAAAGTGCAACTGGTGGGTTGCATGGTAATTGCAAATACAATTTTATAAGAACCTGTCAAGCTCTATTTCAGAGTGGCTGTACAATTTTACCAGCAGCACTTTTAAGAAAAAAAAATTTTATTTTGAGAGACACAGAGACAGCGCAAGTCAGGGAGGGACAGAGAAAGAGAGGGAGAGAGAGAGAATCCCAAGCAGGCTCCACAGGGCAGAGCCCGATGCGGGACTTCAACTCATGAAGCCAAGAGACCATGACCTAAGCCAAAACCAAGTTGGACACTTAACCGACTGAGCCACCCAGGCGCCCTTACCAGTAGCACTTTTAAAGTAATATGTACTGGGGGCGCCTGGGTGGCTCAGTCGGTTAAGCGTCCGACTTCAGCTCAGGTCATGATCCCACGGTTGGCGAGTTCGAACCCCGCGTCGGGCTCTGTGCTGACAGCTCAGAGCCTGGAGTCTCTTCAGATTCTGTGTCTTTCTCTCTCTCTCTGCCCCTCCCCCACTCACACTCTCTGTCTCTCTCTCTCTCTCTCTCTCTCTCTCTCAAAAATAAATAAACATTAAAAACAATTAAAGTAATATGTATTGGGGCGCCTAGGTGGCTCAGTCAGTTGAGCATCAGACTTCAGCTCAGGTCACGATCTCACGGTTCATGGGTTCGAGCCCCGCATTGGCTCCATGCAGACAGTTCAGAGCCTGAAGCCTGCTTTGGATTCTGTGTCTCCCTCTCTCTTTGCCTCTCCCCAACTCATGCTGTCTCTTTCTCTCAAAAATAAACATAAAAAAAATATAAAGTAGTATTTTTTTTCTTTGATCATAGTAATATCAGTGTACATTGAAAAGAATATATATACGGCAAGGACATTATATATATATGTATACATACACACACACATATACATACATATGTGAATATTTATTCAACTCTAGACAATGCTTAATACCATAATGGGGTTCAAATAACTTTGGTAGCCTGGGTGTGATGAGGAAAGACTCCGTTTTCCACCTCCTGTGTCCCTCTCCTGTGTGTCTCCTTTATTGCTCACACAAATGTGTGGAGGTTTTTGTCTACAACACCAGCTGGGTGCCGTACAATTTAACTCGGTTCTGACACTGTCTACTCAGAGCTAGGGTCTGAGCCCCAGGGGTTAAGGGTCAGTCCCCCAAGACTGCTCCCACCCTACTTCAGTTGCCCCAGGTTACCCACAGCTTCTGTACAATATGGCTACAAATTGGAGGTTCCCATGACCCCGTTCCCAGGTTGGATTCATTTGCTAGAGCAGCTCACGGAACTCCGGGAAACACATTTACCAGTTTATTAAAGGATGTTGTAAAGGATACAGATGAAGAGATCTGCATAGGGCGAGGTCTGGGGGGGTCCAGAGCACAAAATCTCCCATCCCCGTGAAGTTGGGGGCACGTCACCGTCCCAGTATGTGGATGTTTTCACCAGTCTAGAAGCTTTCCACACCTTGTACTGTGGGGATTTTTATGGAGGGTTCATCACAGAGGCATGATGGATCATTAGCTCTGTGTCCAGCCCCTCTTCTCTCTCTGGAGGATGGGTGGGGGAGCTGGAAATTCCAAGCTTCTCATGGCGTGGTCTTGTGACCAGCTCCCATTTGGGAGCCCACCGAGACTTCCCTCCTTAGAATAAAAGATGCTCCTAGTATTCTTACCACGTACGAATTTACAAGGGTTTTAGGAGCCCTGTGTCAGGGATGGAGTCAAAGACAAATACTAGAATAAGACATGTTCCTAGTATCCTTATCACGTAGGAATTTACAAGAGTTTTAGGAGTTCTGTGCCAGGAACCCGGGGCGGAGGCCAATATTTTCTATCCTGTCATACTGGGAATATGTGGTCGATAGAAGGGAAACCATTGGATTGCATATTTTGTTAAAATAATAACTATTAGTGTTTTTCCCATTATAAAAAGTATGTAAAAAGCATATTTGCCATATGCCCCGCAGAGAAAATTTGGAAACTGAAGAAAACTAACAGGAAAAGAGGAGAGGTCTACCTAGAGTCAGAAGTCTTTCCTGACAGCTTTATTATGCATTTCAAAAACCAAAAACCCTTCAGTGAACATTTCTGGAGCTCCTGCAGGGTGAGGGCACAGTCCTAGGCACAGTAAGGGATGACACAGAGAGGGAGGCCCCAGGGAGCCTTGGGTGTGGCCAAGATGCCACCTGTAGATGACAGGCACCTGGCAGAGGAGCCTTGCTGCAAAAAGCCAGCAGGGAATGTGGTGGCGTCACAGCCACTTAGACTCGCAGTGTGACCTTGCTGTCGGGGCGTTACACACAGCGGCAGATTTGCTAGAGTAGAATTGGACCCTTTCTTTTTCCTGGCTTTGCGCACGTGTTCATGTGCCTTCCACTCGCTCTGTGATTGGACAGGACGACATCATCGATGATGTTGACAGCTTCCTCGCTGCAGCAGAGACCCTGAAGGAAAGAGGCGCATACAAGATCTTTGTGATGGCGACTCACGGCTTGTTATCCTCGGATGCTCCGCGGCTGATCGAAGAGTCCGCCATTGACGAGGTAACAGCTGCCGTCGTGGGTACTGCTGCCCTGGCACTCCTGTGCCCCCTCGGTCCGGGTTATAGACAGCGGGTGAAGGAGGAGTTCTTTTGTGGTTATGAATGGACTGAAAATGTGGGTTATGTTTGCATTTTGTGGGCTGTAAACCTCTCTCTGCCTTTTGCCCCTGGTAATAGTTCAGAGTCTTCCTAATTCTCACAAATGGTGCGTGTGGTGCACAGTGCTGTGCCCACCCTCCCTTGCTCGAGCTCCATCACAGCCCCGCAGGGTCCCCGTTGGCACCACTTTCAGAGAGCATCAGAAAGGGTGAGTGACTTTTTAAGGTCACACAGCCAGTAGGCTGAGCATTTGTGATCAGACCTTAACTTGCCTGACTGCAGAGCCCCGCTCTGTCACTGGTGCAGACGCCTGTGGGGGGAGATTGGGGGAGACAGGCAAACGGGGCACATTTCCCAGTTGCACGCGGCTGCCTTGAGGCTGAAGCCAGGCCATTCGGGTTTACTCACCTCGCTCCGTCCACCCCCCTGGGTCCCCTGGCTTGTGTGCTTTGACGGCATATGTCACATTTTCATTGTGTCCTAAGAAATGGAAGTGTTTTGCCGTGTATGTTCCTGGGTATTGAATCGTACATTGGCCAGAATTGTAAGATTGGTTAAATCTTACATTGGATTTACTTTTCCGAGTTCCGCTTTTTGACTCTTCAGCAGCAGATTTCCTTGAGCTTGGCCCTGTGTTTATGGGTCCAAGGTGCCTTCACACAGACAGGCCAGGCTCACGTGGCTCAGGTCAGATCCAGCCTCCTACTCAGCTGGACAGACATACTAAGGGACCAAGAATGATGCTGCAGGCATTCAGGGCTGGAGAATCAATATGGAATTCACATGTTAAGTAGGCTAGGAAGACTTCAGGCCCACAGCGGCTCTCACTGGTCTGTCCGTGTGGTTCTCACGGGTGCTATTTGCGGGCAGAGCAAGCCAGAGGCCTGTGGGGGAGCTGCTGGAGAGCCACGCCTCCCAGAGCCCACTGGACTTCAGAGGAGGCGTAAAAGTAGTGGAAGCTGTGATTTCACGTGAATGGTGTAGAAAGTTCTGTGTTTGATACCAGTTGGTAGATTTTTTTTGTGGGGCGGGACCTGTTCTGTCTTGTACAAGCTGTGATGCTTACATTCCTCTTCATGTTTCCATTTTTGCCTCAGTTGCTAGGAATATGAAATACAAAATGATGAGTCACAATAATTGCATGAGGCTAGGTTTTCCTTTCCCTGGTGCTGGTTCTGAATAATTCCTGGTGGTTATATCTGTTTCAACAATCTCATTGTGTATATGCGTCTTTATTATAAGTTGTCATGAAGCTTGTTTTGGAAGCAAGGAATGTATATTATAAATATGATCTAAAAATTATTCCCATCCCCCCCCTTTTTTTTAATTTAAAGTTTATTTTGAGAGATAGAGTGAAAGAGAGAATCTCAAGCAGGCTCTGCACCGTCAGCACTGAGCCCCAGATGCTCCAAATCCCCTGTTTTTTGTTGTTGTTGTTGTTGTTGTTTGTTTTTTTTAAGAAAGCTGAGTATTTTAATATTTTTTCCATTTGTAGCTGTTGGAAAGTGCCTGTTTATCTTTTTTTGATCTTTATCAAATCTTAACTTTAAGAAACAACTTTATTGAGATATAATTCACATACCGTACAATTCACCCATTTAGAGTATAAAATTCAGTGGTTTTAGTATATCCACAGAATTTTATAGCCATCATTCTCATTCGCTGGGGGGGGGGGGGGGGGGGGGGGGGGGGGGGGGGGGGGGGG